ATTCAGAGGGACGAGGTGAAGTAAAGAACTGGTGGAAGCCTCCCATTTCTTTGTGCAATGGCACTAAGCCCTGTTGAAGTGTGTTTCCCCAGGCCTGATTTTTACCCTCAGCAATTATTGTGTGGCTGTTTTTAAACCTATGCGCAAACAATTGCTTAGCTTCTCAAGTGTGATAGCAAGGTGCAACTGCTCATTCTCGCAGCTTGCAGTTTGTCCTCTGATTACTGTCTGCTGGCCTTTTTGCTGTTATGCTGGATTTTGACAGGGTGGTCGGAGAGGAGACGTTGCTGAAATCATCAGGTGTGTTCCCTTATCTTGCACTTCTGCATCTTATCCTATTGCCATGTTTTTCACAGTTAGTAGGAGTTCTTTTCAAGTTGTCCTTAAAGTATTTTGAAGTTCTCTCACTGTGAATTATCCTTTCTTGGAAAAATGTAGTGACTTATTTGCTTCTATTTCCTTTGTCTTTAAGAATGCAGAATTCAGTCACTCTTACCAGTGATTCATGAACAACTCCATGGCTTCGTTCCAGTTGGATAATTAGGGTCAGGATTCGTTGTCTTCATGACCTTTAAATGTGAATCTCAGTGGGCACATCAGGGCAGCACAGGTTGAAACCTCAGTTTGGTATCATAAAATGGTAGCATGAGTGCTTGGTAATTTTGATTCGTTTCTGTGCACATCTAGAGCAGTGGGATGCATGGATAGCTTGCAGCTAATCTCCCATAGTATCTATATGGGGGCTATATTGAGAAGTTAAAATGATCATCACTTTTACTTTAGCCAGTTAGGAACCAGCTTTATCCAGCTCTGACCTTGCTGTTAGTGAGCTGTGCATGGCTTTGTAACTGCTTTTCAGTCTTCCGAATGGCCTTAAAGTTTAAAACAAAATGCAGTGAAGAGGATAAAAGGCAATTAATCACCGTTCCATTTACTTGTTGGTTCACGTTCAGTCATCTTCATCCATCCAAGGCAGAACTGTTCTCCAGTGGCAGTGGGGCACAGTAATGCTGCCTTACTGACTGCTCTCATGTAACAACACTGCAGTGGAAAAAAAAAAAGGGAATATAGTAATGTGTTCTCAAGTACTTTGATTTAGCTATTGATAACTTGTGGCTAGTATTACATGTCAGCTTTGTACTTTGAACCATAGTAAATGTTAGTTGAAATGGTGTGGCACCTGCAGTGAAATCAGATGATTGTGTACAGAATATGTGCAGGTAGGAGATCTGTGTCTTTGCAAGATTTGAAGACAATGCTGTAGCACTAATATTGTTGGAATTATAATGGTGAGAATCTGCTATTCCCACCACAAATCCTTATACATGAAGGTATGCAGAAATCTCAGTCTGAATAGCATTTACTTTTGTGTGTTTCTGTTCTTCTTAAGATATATTTAGGAGGTGAATATTGAGATTAAGATTTAGACTTTAAAGTTTCTTTAAATAAAATGGGGGGGAACCCATGGGAAATTATTAATAGGCTGTTATTCTTTTGAATAATTTGTGATACTGGGCTGTATTCTTGAATTAACAATGATAATTAATCATCCACAGCACATTTGACTTCTCCAGTTTGTTGCCTTGAGTTCAGCATCTGATACATAATGAGTATCTTGCCTCCTTGCTTCCAGGAATGTAGTGTTAAAGCAGAAGATAGAATGAGTGGATGGGATGAATGAGTGGAAGGCACAAGGCTAGCTGTGACTTTCCCATGCAGATATTTGATGAACAGCTGCCTTTATGAGCCTTGACCATTGCCATCTTTTACAGTCTAAGGGTAAGGAGGGGTCATACAAGCCAAGCAGGCACTTGTGTGTCTGTGGGTTGCTCAGCCTTGTGCTCAGCAGTGCGTGGTGTTCACATCTGGGCTAAGTTAATTCCTTAAGATGTGCCTGCAGGTGATTCTCCTGGAGCAGAGCTCAGCAGTTATCTTCCTTTGGTTTCTGGGGTTTTTGGTGTCCTCCCCCAGTTCCTGAGCCTGTCCTTCATCCCCTGAAGAGCCAGGTATGCAGTGACACCATCCTGTGACACCGTCCTGCTGCCCAGAGCCACCAAGTTGGGTTTTGAGTTTCCTTCCCTTGTCTTCTCTATTCCTTCTGCATTGCAGTATGGCTGTGCAGGAAGCTGTATTCTAGCAAATGCCTGTGTTTCAGGAGAGGCAAGGAGAGGAGAAACAGCAGTGGAGAGAAACACATTCCTGGGAGTCCTTCTTACGGAGCATGAAGAAATCTGGAGACTGCTCACTTACAGAGCTGTCCCCCACCCTTAAGCAGCTGTTCTGCTTTTGTGCTTTGCCATGCAGTGTTTGAACATCCCACAGCCACAGATGTTTGCCTTTGGTTCGTATACTGAGGCAGATTTGAAGAGCTGATCCTTAATCCTGATGCCAGAGCCTTTTGGCCAAGATTAGCCTGATGCAAACCGTGGTCCCAGCTCCCACTTTGAAGCAGCAGCATTCCTGGTACATGTCACAATTGGCACTGGGTCCTCAGTGTTGTTTTGTGACCATTTCCTCTGTTTATAGCTGGAGGTTTTGTCTTGGCTGAAGATGTGGGATTTACTCAATCGCGACAGTTTTCAGTGAATTTGGATCCCAGACACAGATGTTTTAGAGAAGGATCTGCACCTTTGTGTTTTGTGGCTTCATGAGCTATTAAATTAAGAAAAAAGATGCACAGCTCAGATAAAGGGTTTTTAATGTGTTCCCTAACCCAGTATGAAATTAATTCCTCTGGATGGATGGGTACTTCCACGTTAGTGCGTTATTAGATGTCTGTATCCCTATTCTGATAGGAGGGCATGCTCTCCATTCTTAAGCTCACAATCCTGTGTGTGTGCGAGCATGAAAGTAACTCTTCCACTTGTTTTAATGTGATGGAAATGGTGAAAGATGCAAGTTTAATGCAGAGAAACAAGGAGAAATAGAGAGCTGGGTTCTGGAGCTCTCCGTTCCATGCCCAGATGTACTGTCCTGTCCCTCTGTCCTGTGGGTGTGTGATGGGCCAGCCTGAGCTGGGGGCTGCAGTGTCCCATCTGCAGGGAACGGAGTGATGGAAGGGCTGTGTGTCTGCCCACCCCTGAGCACAACTGTAATTGCTGAGCAGATGTTCTGTCTTCATTCTGCTGCTCTAACTGCCCTTATCTCCCCCCTTAATCTCAAATCTCTCTCAAACTTTTTAGCTCATTAAGTCCTGTGGAGCTAGAATTCCCTGCTAGTTAAGCACACACAAAACATTTTTCTTATCAGATCTTGCAGCGATTCTGTAAACAAACGACTTAATCATGCTTTTCATGTTGATGCCAGAGAGACAAATAAAATTGGTTGCACTGATTGTAAGCAAACTAATACAAACTAATATTCTAAATGTTGAGATGTTTATCATTTTTCTTTTTTGAAGTTTTTGCTTGTTTGTTTGTGTTCCATTCCATAGTTCCTTCAGAAACAAAATTCTGTTCTGTAGGCTGAAATGCAAGTTAACTGTTTATGGAAGAAAGAGAAGAAAGTAAAATTGCCTGAAATCCTTTTATGTGTGAAGCTAGAGAACAGCAGAAGCCAGAATGTAACTGCAGGGGAATGTGCTTGGCTATAGAAGGAGGATGTCACTGTGGGAATGCCTTTGGATACTGAACAGGAATGTAATTCTCTACTGGGGTGACCTGCAAAAGGCTGGGAATGTCATGCATAGTATTGGAGCACTGCAGGCAACTGGTTGTTTTTCAGATCTGTTCTTTTGAAATAAATAAATAAAATTGCTTTCCCTTAGTTTGGGGCTGAGCCAGTTTTTAAATTTTTTTTTTTAATTCTTGGCTTGAACTCATGTGAACTGGAATTAGCAAGAAGAGACAGTAAAGCTGTGGTCCCGTGTGCTCTCTCCTCAGTTTAAAGCTGGCTGAAGGAATTCCTGCTCCAAATTGTAGCTCTCTGCCCATTTCACTTTCTCCAGGAGGAAGTTTGTTTGGGGGGGCAGAGGGGACGACGACTGAAATGTGAGATTTATCCAATCCAGTTTTCCAAAAAACAATGCAGAAAGCTTCCTGTTGCCTCATGCTTTCCCCAGGACTCAGTGCAGCGGGTGAGCAGTGTGCTTCTGTGTGCTGTAAGGGGGGGAGAAGCTGACAGAACGAGCTGCCTGGGGATGGGACAAGGGCTGGGAATACAGCTGTTCCTACTGAGTGTTCTGTAACTCGAGAGCACAGCCCCAGTGGGTAGCTTTTGTTGTGTAGCAGTCATTGCCAGAAATGAATACATGCAAATCCTCAAGGCACTAGAGCCTGATGAAACTTACGCTCATGAACTCTGAACAAAGTGCCCTCCTTTCTCAATCTCCCGTTGGTTTTTATCCAGGTAGCAGTAAGGGAGGGGGTGTCAAAGGAAAATTCCGCCTTCAAACAAAAAAAAGTTACTGTTTAGAAATGCTTTACGAATGCAGCATTTGGTGGAAGCTTGAATTTGGCTGGCCCAGAAGATGGAATCGGCCTTGACTTAGAGGTAAGGGCTGTAACTGTCTTGAGCTGTATTGTAAGGCCAGCTGATAGTAAGTGTGGTATTTTTCGTACTCCTATTGCTGTAGTTCTGCAGAAAAAGGGGTGAGAGGACTGCTGGCACCTGGAGTGTCACCAAAGTATTACAGAATTTCACTCAGAGTTGGTTTCTTTCCATGTTATTATTATAACGGGTCACTGGCTGTCCAGCAGCAGAGGAAACATTTAGATGTGGCAATCATAAAGGTATAACACAATTGGATCTCAAACCCTTCTTAGTAAGCTATCTGAATTATTACTGTTTTTCTGGTAATGTGTTTTTTTCCTTTCCTTACTGTCTTTTCTTTCTCTGCATTTTTGGTAGTTTTTTTAAGTTTCAGGTGTAAGCACAGATTTCAGTGAAACTGCAATGCCAATAAATGGGTTAAATGAATGTGTCCTTATCCCTTCCCCCACCTCCCAGAGTATTTTTTTTTTTCAATCAAATTTTACATGGAAACATTTTTAACCATGCAGGGCAGCTTTAGAAGAAGTAGAAGGAGATGTGACAGAACTGGAACTGAAACTTGACAAGGTAAGCTTTTTAGTTCAAGAATGTCTGCTTTGGGGGAAAACACAGGATCCTTGTTTAGGTTTGTGTAATTGAAGTCTGCAGCTGGGAAGTGGCAGCAGCTGCTGCAGAGGGGATGGATGTGGGCCGAGCACACAGCGGGACCACAGGGACCCAAGCTTGGGTAAGGCGGCAGCAGGCAGCGCGGCTGCATCCTGCAGCTGGGGCTGGGCTTGTGCAACCCCTACCAGCCTTCTGGCCAGGACCCTTGCTTGCATGTGACAGCCCCGTGAGCTGCAGGAGAGCTCCATCAGCTTCCCCAGGCTTTGCTATCCCTGCTCTGAGAACTTGGGTTTTATGAGAACTGCATGCTGATCATGTCTGGGGATCCCTCGTAGTCTGCAGGCACGGTTATAGCCTGATAGGTGGTGTGTGTGTATGCATCCATCCATCCTGCAGCCCAGGGGACTTAACTGCTGAAACATTCGTCCTGCTTTGTGTACGTATGCAAAATGTACGTTGTGACGCACCCCTTCAGTGCATTACAATCCTTTTTTTTTCCCTCCAAACAGCAGTATGTAAGGCTTTTTTCTTTCTTTGCAGCATTTTGCGTGGCTTGCTTTACTTTCACATCTATAAGAAAACCGTTTCTTCATTTTTTGCTAAATGTCTGAATTTATTTTCTGCTGGTGATCTGATACAGCAGGCAGATACCATTTGCTGATCTCCTCAGCTGCTTTTGCATATGAACCTTTGCTCCGGCACTTGTGGGTTGCCTGCTGGCAAACAAATGAAGTCTGTGTTAGGTGTGGTGGTAACTCCAGAGGCTTTTCCTTTTCTTGTAACACTGTTTTTAGGTTTGTGATTAATAGTGTAACCATTCGCTTTTTCAAAATAAATAAAGGATACTTACTTTCAGCTGTCCGGTGCCAATGATGGTGAGGCTGATACTGCAAGAGACATTGTTGCTATAGGGGTGACGGAGCATCCAAGTATTTGAAAGACTACGTGGAAGTTTGTGTTTCCCACCAGTGTAGAAGGCTCATTTGGAGGGCTAGGGAAGAGTTCTCCATTTCTGTACAGGATCTTGCCCTGCTCCTCCAGACTTCTTGCAGGAGTTCTGTGCCAAAAATACAATTGTTTTGTTTTTTTGTTTTTCATGCAAAATCCTTTCACTCTTTACCCTGGGACGGTGTCCTAGCATTTTAAAACAGAAACAACCAAAAAAAAAAAACCCTTTTACTCACCTGGCAAGAGAGCTAGTACACAAGGTAAGTATTTAAGCAGTGTAATTGTAATGTGAAGCATTAGTGATTTAGTCTAATGCTTTAATCTAAAGCCAGGCTTCTTGTGTGTGAACTAAGTAACTATGGCCTGAAGGTGATGGTTTGTCTATACTTGGATGGCAACCTTGTTGCTTGATTGGTCACATTACACTCAGCCTTACTGTCCCACAGTTGTGATTTCTGGACTAAATTATCTGCTTCTTCCTCTTCCCTGGAAGATGGACACTGTAATCAGGATAAGGAGCCATCAGCAAAAAGTGAAGAGAAAAGAAAGGTTATGTTGACAGTATTTAGAGAAAGTAAAAACAAAACAAGCAAAACCTCATAGATACAAACATCTCACTGTGTCATTTTTCCTCTTTTTAGCTGGTAAAGCTTTGTATTGCAATGATTGATACTGGGAAAGCTTTCTGTTTGGCCAACAAGCAGTTTATGAATGGAATTCGAGACCTCGCACAATATTCCTGTAAAGATGCATTGGTGGAGGTAAGTTAGTGGTCAAAATGGATGTAGAAAAATATAACTTTAAAAGGGCATAGTATAACATTCAGCAAGAGAAGTAGCTGGGGTTTATGCTGCTGAGCTGTTGCTCATTTTTCTTTGGAGTATGCCTTAAGAGTGAGCTTTCTGGGCTGTGGTGCATTGCAAATGCATGTTTCACTTCAGCATTATCCTGTAATGACGAGGGTTTTTCAAACTCCAGAACATCTTGAGAAAGCAATAGTCATCTTGGGAGGAGTGGAGCAGTGAGCAGGTGTGCCCTGTTTATTTTGTTGTAGTTGTTCCAGCTACAAAGTGTAAAAGCCAGTTCTGTACAGCTGAATTCCTTGAGTTGATCTCTGGGGAGCTGGGCCTAGCATGCTCTGACCCATAGACACTTAGATTTTAAATGTACAAAGCTCACACTGGTGAAGTTGTAACCTCAGACTGATGACTTGTTAAGCTAATTCGGGAAACTTAATATTTCCCATGTATTGGTGTGAAGTGAGTATGAAGTTATGTAATGCGCAGCTGTAATTACGTGCACATCTCTGTATATCATGCATGTTTAATGCATGTTATGTAACAGCATTGACTGCAAGTATGCATCTTCACACTGGTTATATGTAATGCCTGTGGGCTCCTGTATAGCCTTCAAGCATTGCTGAAGCTTGTTGTCTTGAATCTTACTTGTTTAAGATGTTGTACAGTGACAAAATCCCCTAAATTTGGCCCAGTTTTACTTCTAATCAGTTGTTACATTTTTTTTATTCCAGCTAGGTGGTTTTCTTTATTGTTAGAAAAGCTTTTAGCCAAGGATGTTAGGGAGTGTTATTTTCTGTTTCTAGTTGATACTTAATTTCTACAAATTCATTTTGGTGGTGCTAACCATACCAGCTGTGAGGCAGCACTTCATGCAGTAAATGTGTATGTTTGGATGATTGCAACATACTAACCAAGCTTTTGGGGTTACTTATAAGCATTAATAAATATGAAGTAGTGTAATATTAAGTTTTTATATTGTGTTTATAAGTTATATTAGCTTTATATTGTGTTAAATTATGTAAACTTTGCATAGTTTAGTCAGCTTAACTTGAATTTTTCCTGCTTTGCTTCGGGTTGGTCCTTTATGTATAGGTAGGTAGCAAAAACATTTTGTTTTGGTTGTTTGTACCTTCAGAAGATTTGCATTATGATATTCCCGTGTTTTCCTTCTAACAAAATGGTTTTAGTTTGAATAATCATGTGAAGGGAAATCTTTTCCTAAGTTCTTTAAAGCTGCAAGCATTGCTTTTGTGTTATGTATTTAGTAGTACTGAACTTAAAACTACTTTGTTTTTTCTCTTTTTACAGGCTAACTTGACGAAGTTCTCTGACACTTTACAGGAAATGATCAATTATCACAATGTAAGTGATTTTTGGCTGGAACATAACCCTGATGGCTCAACTCCAGTTACACTGGTGTTCTTTTTTTTTCTATTTTCTTCTTCTTCCTTTGGCTCCTACTGCTTCTCTTCTATTTTCCATAAAAGTGGTGGAAAGCAACTGAAGTATCTCCAAATACTCCAATGCCGAAGATATGTAGGGTTTTCTTTATAGTACTAGGAACTTAAAATGCAATTCAAATAGTTTTAGCTGAAATTCAGTTTGTTAGCATCAACCTAAACTTGTTCTACGAAGCTGTGGGGTGTGTGTGTGTGTGTGTGTGTTTTGTTTGAGATGCAAACTTAGAAGGAAAGAGAAACAATGCAAGTTGAATGTCTTGTATAATGAAATAAAATGATAGCTTGAGACGGAGAATAAGTGGACGGTGACATTTTGGCAGAGAGAAGCAATGTGAAGGTTCAAAGTAGCAAACAGAAAAGGATTCCTTTCATGTCAGCAATTTCTTCAGATTAGAACAGGTGGATCCAGTTGTCTGTCTCTTAATCTCCGTTGTTCTTGCTGCTGATTGCCCTCTTAGCCATGTCTTTGCTCTGTGTATGTTTCTTTTGACACACATGACCTAGGCCCCGTGTTCCTGCTTTTATTCTTGTTCTACATGATTGTGACTTGCAGTACTTTGGCTAAGATCATGCATATCCCAGCTCTTCCCCTGGGACAGTTTGAGTGCAGAAAGCAAACAAGGAGACATAAGAAGGCCTTGCAGATGGAAGTAGAGCTACTCGTGAGTTCTGTCCTGCTTTTCCCCTTTGTTTCCTTGCTGTGCTCAAGCATGCTGAGTAGAGCAGTGGCTCTTGTCAAAAGGCACAAACATAAGAAGTAAGGCATGGCATAGGATTTTAAAGTAGAGCTTTGCCAGATTTACTCTGTGGCCCTGCTTAGCTTTGTGTGAATCTACTTAGTTCATCAGGACTTATGAGCTCAGTGCCAGCTCTGCTGCTGACCAAGTTGGCAGGAGAGCTCTTGTGAGTGAGGACAAGCTAGAAGAGGAAAGAAGAGGAAAGGAGAAGCAGGCACTGTCCAGAGAAAGGAGGGAAGGGGTAGGAGATGGTCCCACTGAGATGTGGATTATTGCCAGTTTTTCAGTATGTGTCTTTGCTACAAAAAAGGCTGAGATCCAGACTGATGTAATGTGGTAAAGGTAATGTGTTGGGAAGGCTGTAAGTCTGGTGAAATGATGGTCTGGGCAGTGTTTTCTGTTCATTTGGGAAAAACATCTTTTTTTTTTTTTTTTCCCCCTAACATTTTTTCCTCCTGCTTCTTTGTTACTGTAAGTAGAATTGCAAGGCTGATGCTTCTGGGAGTCCAGTCATCAGTGGAGTTGCCATCTGGTTGCATTCTTTGTGTATTGATCTCGATTGGTGCACTCCTCAGGCACTGGCACACTTAAATGTCAGCAGTGGGAGTAGTCCCAGTGTGATTTCCAGCTTGTAAAGAAGCACTTTATCTGTTCTAGTTATCTGGGTTTTTTTTTGCTTTTTCCAAAGTGAGAACACAAACACCATCTTCTGGATGCTCCTTGTCTTACTGTTAGATGAAGGATAATTCAGGTTGGATGAGGCCTCAGGAGATGCTGTTCTGTCTGCCTGCCTCAGGCAGGGTCAGCTGTGAGGTTGAGTCAGACTGCTGAGTGTTTTTATCCTGTTTGGTCTTGAAAACCATCAAAAATGGAGACTGAGTAGTGAATGTAGTACCACTGTTAATGGGTGGCTTGAACTCAGTTGTATTTTCTTTCCTTCAGTGTTTTCTTGAAAGAGGAAAACATAAGCTACTAAGTGGTTTGCTCTGCAGTGCTTGGTATTGCATAGTTGATTCTGTTTGTTTTTTTAATCCTAGATGTAGTATATAGGGAGGCTAAGACTCAAACTGAATTTTTGACTTGTTCTTTCAATGAGATTATTTCACACTTAAATCATTACATTTTGGAACAGGTTGTGTTCAGTTGCGACAATCACTTCTTCCCTGTATTCTTTTGACTTTAATCATGATGTCACAATTAAGCATACAAATCAGCATAGCAGCAAAACAGAGACTGCCACTCATCTTTAAAAGACAAAAACTGGATTTAAGTTATAATGTGCGTCAAAGCTAAGTTGTGTTAGTGACACTGGGTGAAGAGACTGTCATGCCATCGGTGCTGCACTTGGACTTGAGTCCAAGTTCCATCAGAACAGGCTGGAACACGAGGTACACTTCTGCTCTGACATCACTTGCAAGATTTTTTGCTGTTGCTTTGATGAATGTGATTCCAGTCTACTTTTTGCCTTTGTATGTTGAAAATCTTAAGCATACATCTCAACGTGTCTGTGCCATGCCAACACTGTGTTGCTGCAGGTAGACATGTAGCAATGCTAGTTCTGGCACACTGACTCAAACCTCTTTTCCAAAGGTGCCAATCACTGAAAGTCCAGTGATGCCTCTTTCAGAAGAATTTAGAAAGTTATTGTTTTACGTGGGTGCTACATCAAAAAACAACTTGTGCCACAGTCAATTTGATTATCTTTATACCTTCCTGTATGAATGTTTATGTGAGTGTGGACCAATGTCATCAGCCTGTGTTTATGCTATACTGCTTTTTTCTTTTTTTTTTTTTGTTTTTTGCTACACAGTGGAGTTTGGCAAAGATTTTTCAAGCAAGATGTTTTTAACTACGGAAGTGATATATAACATGAAAAAGTATTCAGTTTGACACACAGAATAAATTCAGAAACTCTTGTCTTAGATTTTCAAATTTTGAGGAAGGCAATGGCTTAGAATGGATTGCAGGATGTAGGGATTCCTAAACACTGTCAATGTGCATCTCAAAAATGAAAAGCTATGAATACCCTAAAGTTACTGAACTACATATTAATGCTTTTCTTTCAGATCCTGTTTGACCAGACTCAAAGATCAATTAAAGCACAGCTTCAGACTTTTGTTAAAGAGTAAGTTAATTTGCACTTATGAGAAAACCATAGATAAAACTGAATTAAAAGCATCTGATATAAGTGAGTTGGTGAAACATCTTTCCTGAAACTCACCAGCCATAAGTTAAGAAGAGCATATTTGAGTTTGTAAAAAATCACTCAAAATCTGAGAGGCTTTTGTTTCAGCTGCAGAAATGTTTAAATGGAAATGGTTCAAATTACTAACCATAAATTATGTGTTGTCATTCTCCAAGTTTAGAAGAAAAGTGCTTACTAAAGCTTTTCCCACTAAGAAGGAGATACACTGATGTAAATCTCAATTTTTTCCTTTCCTCAGAAGAGGACAGAGAGGCTGCAGTAATACTTTGATTTCTTTATTTGATCTCAGCATTTGTTAACGAATGTGAAAGCAAAGAAGGTAGCTGTAACAGTCACAACACAGGCCATTTAGTGAATCTTTAAACACTTACTTTGTGCTTTGGAATTCATTTGCCATCTATCTTTCCTTTGTTGCAGGGATATTAAAAAATTTAAAGATGCAAAGAAGCAGTTTGAAAAAGTTAGTGAAGAAAAAGAGAATGCTCTAGTAAAAAATGCCCAAGTTCAAAGAAATAAGCAACATGAAGTAGAGGAGGCAACCAATATTTTGACTGCAACACGGAAATGTTTTCGGCACATAGCTCTGGATTACGTTCTTCAGGTAAATGCAGCAATAATGCTATTCAAACTTGACATTTCTGACCTAAATGTGTTTTGTAAGTTGGCTATGCTGTAGTTTCTTAAAAATTTAAAATATAAACTGTAACCTAGCCTGGCAAATACAAATGACATGAATCGTTCTGAGGGGCAGTGCAACATATTAGATGGGTGTGGGGAGATTGGCAGCCATTGCTGTAGACTGGGTCCTTGTGCCCATTGACCTGCAGCTCATTTGTCTTTTGGAATTTGTGTGTTCTAACGTCGTACAGTTCCTATGATAAAGGTGCCTTTATAGTAGCAAGGCAGAGTTTCAGCATCTCTTAATTAATGCAGGCAAAAAATGAATTCACCCTTAGGAATCCCTTCTGCTTGGATGACTCTTTTCTGCTGGAAGAGTGGCTTCACAATAACAGCCTCTTTGCAGCTGTACTGACTTTGAACTGCATTTCAAATCCCTCGCTTTCCTCTTATTTTCTCCCTTGAGCTGGGGGTTTGTTCTGTACAAATTTAATTATTTTCACTGCAGACAGTTTTCCAAAATACCAACTGTGGAACTGTAGAACTACATTCTGGTTTTGGTGTAGAATTACAGCCTGGTTTTGATTATAGCTTCACTAAGCTTTCCTGCTGCTGGAATCTTTGAACTGATACAGAGGTGTTAAATTACAAAATTACACATTTCTTTTCCTGCTGTATGGGGCCTTTAAATCCAAGGCAGGTCTGGATGGCAACTTTGAGGATTAGGAGACAAAGAAGATAAAGTTAAGTGAATATCAAAAATTAAATCCATCCTTTTTATATTTATATAAAGTGAAATATCTCAAGTTCTAGGGCAATACCTTTGGCCAGTTACTTCAGCCAGCTTAAAAGTACAAGTATATGCAAAATGTGACTGAAGTTATTGTGATCTTGTTTGTTTCAGTGACTGGGAGTGTCTCTCAGTTCTGGAACACTTTAGAAAGTGTCAGCTGAAAGGAAAAATAAGTGTGGCCCAGTCTGTTCTTTGTCTCTAGACACTTAAGACAGTGATGCTGCCAGCAGCATTTTTAAGAGATTGGTGAGCAGGATTAGTTCATGCTGTCAAAAAGAGGATTTGAAATGTTCAATTCAGTTTCTTGAAAATGGATACAAATTTTCCTTGTTTCAGAGGTTTATTGTATTCCTTCTAGACAACATGTTAATTTTCTCTTCTTGCCTAAGAAAGTTATGACTATTAGTGTAGAAGTCAATAGTTGCAAGCTTTCTATGATTGCATCACTTTAAAATCATAAAAAAACTCGCATACAGTTTCTGCAGTTTTAGAAGTGCCATGTGAAATTAGATATTGAGTTATGCTTGTTTGTTGTCTTAAGCTTTGATGTGTTTATTTGGAAGTAATCTGAAGATTTACCTCCCTGGGGAAAATTTGTAAGCTGAATAAAATCAGCAACTATCAGCAACTTTTTCTTTTTTCATTAGATCAATGTTCTTCAATCTAAAAGAAGATCAGAAATCTTAAAATCGGTAAGATATGCTTTGATTTCTGTATAGGATATATTTGAATACATCAAAATGATAAATGACTGCAAAGCAGTACATTAAAAATGAATTTGTCCTTTTTCTCATTAAACATTACAAGTACAGTTGGCACTTTGAGGATAGTCAGCTTGGTCTTTACTATAACTTGGCATAGAAACTTAGTTCTTTTTAGCAATCTCTTGGTTCAGATTTGAACATTTTAATAAGGTTTTCATTGTTCTTTGGGATGTGCTTCATGGTTAAAATTGAACTCTGTTTGCCAAGAATTCTGCTATTTAAGTCTGCTATATTCATTTATAAACAATAAATACTTTTCATAGTCTGTTCTAAGATGGATTAAGCTATTTGTACAAAAATGGTATTTTTTAATATAAATAGCTTGGAGTCAGCTAATATACAATATGCTTTAGTGTGCTGTCTGCTAAATCGACCACAAAATTAAATGGTGCCTTTCTTTCAAAGCTCTAAATTTGTATTTTCCTTAATTTCTTTAAACAGCACAAAGTTCTGTTGGATCACAGCAGTATAGCTGCTTGTCATTGTGCTCTAAATCTTCCCAAATTGTTTCCTTTATGACTGGACAGTCTTATCTCAGCTGTGTTCATAAAAGTTATTGTTTTGGATAGTTGGTAAATAAATCATGTAGTCTCTCTGTTGTACATATGCTAGCTAAACAGGCACTAACAAATTTTTAGATGACAGGAGTTATTGTAACTTCCTGTCCTTAATGCAAACATCTTCTGAAATACTTTGTGTAGCTCTTTGCTGCCTTTACCTTGCATGCTTGCTTACATCATTGAAAGCTGTACAAGCTTTTCATGTAGAATTGCAGAGAGACAACACAGCAGAAAACAACTCCAGATTTTTTGCTTTACTTTTTTTTTCTTTTAAGTTCTGTTCACATGGATTAGTTAAGGGACATTTATGCAATATCTGATTGAGCCTTTTTAAAATATCTACTTTTTTTCCCTCTAGATGTTGTCATTTATGTATGCCCATTTGACCTTTTTCCATCAAGGCTATGATCTTTTCAGTGAGCTTGGGCCCTACATGAAAGATCTGGGTGCACAGGTAAGACTTCAAAAATAATGCTTTATAAATAAACAACCATATGCTGGTGTGGAAGAAAGGTCCATCTATGTACGCATGTGAGGCATATTGTAGATTTATAAAACCAACCCAAATTCTAAATGTCTATTCATGCATGAAAGTAAATAAATGGCAGCAAACAGATGCATCTGCATTCATCTCAAGCAGATGTGGTGCTAAGTGTTTATGAAATTTCCTTGTTCTATCCTGCCATCAAGAAAGGAAGAGCTGCTTCAGCTGCAGCCCTTGGCCTTTGGCGCACTAATAGCAAGTTAAAGGTTCAGGTGTGTGTGACTGTCCTTAACACTGTCTGTGTGCCTTTTATCTTTTACATCCACCCATTTTGTAGTTGTTGAACTATAGTGCTTTGATAGCATAGAGTGTGTTCTGTACCTGTTTAGAAGAGAAGATGGGGAAAGCAAACAAAAGCTGTATAGCTGATAGTGCTTTATGCTGCCAGTTAGGTTTCATGTTTCTTTTTCATTGGAGTTAGGAATACAGGATTATTTTTGAATGGCTGATCATCCATTTTCTTCATCTATTTTGTACGGAGTTTTCTGTAACACTCACTTTGGTGCTGGTATCTTAGCAACTAAAGGAGTTAAATATAGAAAACCCAAAGCTGAGAGTGTTTAATTTTTTTGCAAATGGAACATAGCTGGATTGATATCCCTAAAGTTGTACAACTTGTTGGATTTTCCTGTGGCAGACATTGGCTTTTAAGTAACAGATACAGACTTGTAAATAGCTCATGAAAATGTAACTGTTAATGATTTTGCAGTTTGTTTTGGTTGAATTATCTGTGTTTGACAGGCGGTGAGGGAGGTATGGTGAGACATGAAACGGGCATTTGTTAGATTTTTCTGAAAATACTCTTGGCTGCTCTTGTTAGTAAATAAATTCTTATTCTCAGATGAATCTTGTGTTCATATGACATTTAATAGCAGATTCACAGAATCACAGAATGGCCAGGGTTAGAAGGGACCTCAAGCCTCATGAGTCTCCAACCCCCCTGCCACATGCAGGACCACCAGCCTCCACATTTAATACTAGACCAAAGCATGTAAAATAGTAAAATTTAAGCCATTTTAAGTCGTACAGTTGTGTGTAATTCTTTTGCTTTATGTTTTCAAGACAACTAGTTTATATGACAGAACTGAGCATCTTCTGTGTTCTGAATATTTTAAGTCAGTGTAATATCAGTCATGGATCAGATCATTGTAAGAGAAGCTTTAATGACACACAAGAGTGATATATGCTTTTGCATGGAAATTTTGATATTTGGCACTTCTCACATGAAATGTATTAGTTTAAAAAAAGAACTGACTTGAATTTTCGTTCTAGAGTAAAGATGCAAAAAGCTAAACATCTTACTCTTACTTCTGCATAAAATACCACTTAAAACACTGAATTGGTGTAGTATACGTTCACCAGTAAATGCAGTATTTTGAGGAATCTAATTTTTGAAGGCTAACAAATCATGGGTAGAAGGACTGGGATTTTGACTGAATGATGTGATTGCCACAGTTCTTAGTAGTAGTTTGCTGTTTGGTTGTTGTGCTTCTGACTGGAGTGAAAAGAATAAGTTCTTGTCTGAGTTTTGGAACTGGAATGATGCAGTGCTATTTTTGTAGTGAAAAGCAGGAGATGGAAAGAGATGTTATTGAGAATCTGAGAAACTGGCAGAACCTGGACTAAGAAACACATGTCCCAGCTGTGTGATGGTTCATAACTGTTGGGCTGTCCAATGTAAGGGTGTGAGACCCTGTAGTGTCCCTTTTCTTTTTTTTTTTTTCTTTTGCTCTCATTTGTATCATTTCAAGCAGGGGAAATAGAGCAGTGGGGGACATGACCAGATTTGGCAGAGGTTTCTGTTATGGGAATGGGTGGAGGTTATGGCAGTGGTGTGTAAATTAGGGGCTCTGTTAGTCACAGGGTGCCCTCTGCCATGTGACTAATTTGTGCTGCATGCTGTCCAGTCTCCTGCATGGAGTAGAACAGTGTCTGCTGCTCAGATGCAGAGCTGCAGGCTGCAGTGCTCCATAAGTAGTGTGGCTGTGTCACTGTTGAGTATCACACTGTGACTGGGGATTGTGGAGTTGTGTTAGCAGCTGGATAAAGCAGGAGCTCATCAGGCTCTTTAGCATTTTGTGCAACTACCAAGATAGCTGAAACGTCAGACTACGTCTGTTTCTCCACCCTATTCCTTGTTTAAACATCAAAGCCTGAACAAACAAACTTACTGTCTAAGAGGATTTCTTAAATTTCCTGCCTTATTTTTCTCTTATGGTTTCAAAACTTTTATTTTTTATGGTGATGTTATAGATATGGATGTCACAAGCTTTTGTTAGGGTTGTTTTTTTGTTTTGTTTTGTTTTTAAAATCACTGCTTTGGAAAGGATACTAATTCAATCAAATCCTCTCTATTGTGACAGCCCCTCTGCAAAATCAGTTGTTTCTGAAACAAGCAGCAGTTTGAACAGTCCTATGTGAGATGCTATGGGGCCTTGCTCAAGTACTTCTGGTGACTCAATCAAAACCACCAATACAAAAGCCTGGTTGGGGCAATTCCCTCCTCTTTCTGGAAGGGAAAAATCACTATCATTTGCTCTTTCTAGTTTTGGCTGCTGAAGCCAATGCTGCTGCATAGGCCAGTCAGCCAGCAGGAGCAGCTAAAGCATGAGTCATTCTCTTCAGAGACTGAGCACCAATGCGGTATAGGAGTCGCATATGCTTGGCACCATGCTGTTCTTTGAAACATTTCTCCTAAGGCTTACAAGAAATGTACACCTTTCATAGAGATTAATTCAAGATGATAGGTGCAGTGCTTTAAACAAGGCTTCAGTGGTTATTAAAGGTAAACACTTTAACCAGAGAGGTGATTTTTTACTATGCAAATAAAACAAATCATGCAATGTCTAGACATAATGAGTTCTACTTTTTTTTGTCAGCGTTATGAAATCTGCAGAACCAAATTTCTTTTGAAATCTAAAGATCCCATTTTCTGTTTCTCTTTACAGCTGGATCAGTTGGCTGTAGATGCTGCGAAGGAGAAGAGAGATATGGAGCAAAAGCACTCCACTATTCAACAAAAGGTACTTCAGAGAATGTAAAGGGTACACTGCACATCCATTTTCATGTCTCTGACATCTATGCCCAAGGGTTCATTTCTGCACTGGAACTGTTAAAGACGTTATCTTCAGCACAGAGAATTAGACTTGCACGTCGTTAAGCATAAGATGGGATTGTAGTTATTAATTTTTATGTAACAGAGTGTAGTATTATATTTAGTTTTGACTGGAACGTAAATAGAATATTAGAGTTGGTTTGGGGTTTTTTTAGGGATCCCTAAACTTTTCACTAGAGTTCTTAATTCCAATCACGTCTTGGATTGAGTATGTCTGTAAAAGTAACTATCTGCTGTATGCTGTAGGAGTGAGAGATACACTGCACAGTCATACAGTCTTATGTATTGCTCTCCTCCTGAACTGTGCCAAATGAGTACAGCACTTTCTTATAGTCTGGCAGCTGCTGTTGCCTATAAAGAAGCAAAGTAAATATTTGTATGAGCTTTCTCATGTAGGGTCTTCTCTTATGTGCAAATATGAAAGTGGTAACATGAAATTGTTTTGAACATATTTGTATGTATGAAAACTCTTGCTTACTGACAAAAGTGTAGATTGTTCATGTTATGGGGGAAATAACAGTTGGATGATTCAGAAGCTCTAGATAAGTATTGATTTTGCGAGTGCTAGAAGTTAAATATGTATTTTATCTATATTTTTTTCCACTGAACTCTCTGATGGTGAGCTAATAGTGCAGGTACTTTTGAAATGAATTAGATACCAGTTTAAAGGTAATGGAGCACTTCCTACTCTCATTTAAATACATTCTCTATCTGTTCATGTGTCATAAATTTAAAAAAAGTGTAAGTGAAAGCTGAATACAGGAATTCAGTAATGGAAACATGCTAGTATTCCAATTTTAGGTATCATTAGTAGGAGTCAGTATAAATATTACTGGGAAATGGGGAACAGATGAGGTCAATGCTTGTGTTCATATTTGCTAGTTCTAGGAGTGGGCGATAGTTGGGGTTTTTGCTCTTAGAGAATAGCAGTGCTTAGTGAAGGCATTTAGTTATGGACAATTATATTTAATTGACCAAAGAAGTAATAAGTTGTTACCATGCATTGTGGTTGTTGTTGGCAGTGCTGTTTATGTTCTTTTTTTCCTCAAATGCTGCATAAGGCTGCTTTACAGGTAAACTGTTTCTGATTGTATTAGCAGTTCTTGAATCTTTCAAGCTTTGTAAAATTTGATAAGCTATAGCAGTGTGTGTGTATATATAAATATACATATTGCATACAGCATTCAATATGAGATTATTAATTTATTAAGTATTTTAATGGAATGACCATTCTATGCTGTCACCAAAATAGATTCAGTATATTCAGTTGTATCATATGTTGTCTTCTAAAGTTTTGTGTTTTGTGTTATAAATGTTGCCTCTTGTTATCAGTTGAGTTACTGATATGTTTTATGATAATGCATAGATTAATGCAACAAGGTTTGGAAGGCATGCTTTACTGGAAATTCCTCTTACAGCTCCTATATTTTTTTTTTTCATTTTTTATTTAAACCATGCTGTCTGTTTTATCTCCCACTTGCTTTTCCCAACCTTCCCACCAAGTTTGTTTCCAGTGCATCAGGAGTTCAGAATCTTAAACTGTCTTAAACCTCAGATCTTGTTCTTTACAGCATTTTGTTATCCATATGACCTGACCGGGATGTCAGCCTGTTTCTATTTTCTTGTCATGTTGCTTTCCCCTGGGCTACCCCTCAGGCATATGTTCCCAAATCTTCCAGTACCAAATCCGTATGTGTTTTATAACTACTGAAACTTCTTGAGTTGAATATCTCATGAAGTGTTTATGGATTTAATGTACTGAAGTTTTAATCTAATGCTTCAGAATGATGCCTTTTCTTCATTGTGTGGATAGACAGCAGTTCCTTTTCTGAAATCTATAGGTAAGTGCATGTGTGCACACCTACCCACCCACTACCTGTGTTTGCATACATGTGCATATGCATGCAAAATAATTGCACTAATTAAATAATCCATCACATCCTTATAATCATCATTTAAATAGACTGTTAGCTAATGTAAAAGTCATGGAAGGGTTTGGTCACTACTATAATTTGTTTTCTTAAGATAATTGATGTTTGATTTTTATTTTAAATTTGTGCTCTATTTACAGCAACTATACAAGAAGCCATTATTTTAGTGTAAGAAATGCTTTTTTGCTCCTCATTATTTGAAGCAACACATACTAGGGATTACCTACGACTGTTGACTTACGAGATTTAAAAATCACTTGTGAGCAGCATTATGGCCTTTAGGTTCTGTGACAGTAACATTTTGTTCTAAAACCAGGAAAATGGTACAGGAAGCATTTGCATCGAACCCCAAGTAGTGTTTTTGTTCTATTCAAATCCCACTTTCACTTGAAAGACAAACAAAAAACCCTACCTGTAAAGAACTGTTCAGGAAACAGCTGTAGTGAGAGTGATTTGAGTAAACAAGGTAATAGGAAACCAGATGCTGCCATAGTCTTAAAGCAGTCGTTAAGCAAAACTGCTGTTGAGACAGATTAATGCTTTTTGCAAAAGTGAAGATGTGCCAGTCATTCAAGGGGCTTGTATGTTCAGTGATGATCTTGACTTCTGGCCCTTTGTCTTGGATTGCAAACCTTGTTACTTTGAATGTGGTGCTGTTCTGAGCTCTTCCTCAAGGGACTTTCATCTTGAGCATAATAACAACCTTCTCTTTCAGTTTGCCTGTGTGATGGGATGGGAATGGAAGCAACTTCCCAAAAGGGGGGGTTTGCATGGTGAATGTCTTCTGCTTTGGTATATACTGGAGCAACTTTTCAGATTATTCTTTTCTTTGGTATTTGTTCTCCATTATTTACTGCCTTGTAAAAAAAAAAAAAAAGACTTTTTCTTTAAAGAAGCAGAATACAAAATGTCAAACAATATCTTTGCTTACAAATTCAATTTTAGAATACGGATACATTCCTGATGTTTTCTGAGTAAAATGACTCACGTGGCTTTTGTGATGTGCTGGCAGTCAGCTCTGCCACTGAAAACTAGGATTTGTGATGCTTTACTCACAGGAAAATAATGTGTAGAGAAACAAAGAAAACATGAGCTGTGAAATGACTCCAGTGTATGTGATAAATTTTGAAGTTGGTATAAAAATGCATTCACTGAACCACTGTCAAGAGCAGCATGCTGGGACACACCAGGTTAACTGTAAATGTGGAAAGCTTTTCCACTGCAAACTGATTTCCTATTCCTTGTGGACACTTTGTTTGTTTGTTTGTTTTAAATTTGTTTGTCTTTTAAATTAAAGACGAACATCAACAACAAAAACTGCCAGAAAAGCATGCTGCATATTTCATTTGTATAACTCACTTTTATGTCTTCCAGTAGATGGCCAGCCTTGAAAAACTGATACCAGAATATAAACCACAGATGTTCATTCCTTTAATCTTAATTAAATGTGTGGTATCACACTACAGTGTAAGCTTCATAATACTACTTTAATTTTTTAAATTCCAATCAGGTGAAGCGTACTCTGGTCCTCAGTAGCTGAAATGAACAAACAAATGATATTTAAAATGCTCCTTATTGCTGTGTGTTTGCTTAAGGATGTAAGATTCTGAGTCACACAAAGTGGCTGGATTTATTAACATGTGATTCTCTTCTGCGGGTTACTGGAAAGAGAAGGATGTATTTCTCTCCACCCCTGATTATTTTTTGTGATTCATTAAACTTTTCCATGATCCGAGATAAAAATAAATTATGATGTGACCTCTTTTCCCTGTTCTTTAATTATGAATTAAGAGACGTTAAGATCAGACTGAGGTTATCTAGTTTTTCTACTTTAATCTCTTTAATTGGAATGAAGGCAGTTAAATGTTGTTTTACTGACTACAACTTTCAGTGAAGCTTTATGCATAAAGCACGGGGAAGCTTTAACCCCCTCCCCCAAGCTGGTAGTGTGTGCACTGTTAGAGCTGTATGTCTGCATACTTTTGTGTCTTTATCTGCTCTGCGAAGGTGCGAGTCGTTCAGGAAAGCCATTAAAAATAACACCAAATGCATTTCATGAGGAAGGCTTATTATTTTAGACTACTTAGGCTGAGAAGGTAGTGAGATAAATGATCCTGTTAAGATGGTGTGTGTCTTCAGAGGTTAAATCTGTTTCATTGGAAGAGACAGTTGCATTTTCTGCAGAAGTTTTCCATACTTGAAGGAAAATGTGATTACACGGTAGTTTGGGTAGAAAAGACTGAGAGAATGCATATTATCTTTCACTAGTCAAGGAGTCCAGGAGTCACTGAGGCAGGAAGATGCAAATCTTTAGCAGGTTTCATTATGTTTGGGAGCTGGTAAGTTGGAGGAATTTGTGATTTGGAGGGGGGAGGGTTGCCTTGTTGCCTTTTTTTTTTTTCTCCTCTTCTCCCTGGAAAGGAAAGGGCTTTTTTTCCAGAAAGGTCTTAAAGCAGTTTGAGAATGTTTTTGTACGTTATGTATGTAATGCTATGTTAAAACCACCACGATAAGGGCTTTGTGAAGTCTTTAATGCTCAGCATGTTCTGATCTAGAAAACAGTCAGAAAATTGAGGTCATGGGATACTGAATAATGCACAAATCTGTAATTTTTGTGAAGCTTTTGTCTTTCAGAACTTTTGCACTGATCTTCTACCAGTGAATTGATAAAAATCTAAATTTTACATTTTGAATTCAGTCACTCTATAAAGATGGGTAGTAAAACACTTATGTGAGTGGCGATGTGAAATCTGCTGCTGTGCAGTTTACGTGGAAAAGCGCCTGCTTTTTCAAAAAATGTCTATGAAATATTCTGCCTCCCTAATATTTAAAGGATTTTTAAGTTACGAGGCTATTTTCAGTGATGCCTCTTATGCCCTCACTGAAGAGAAGCCATATGTTGCTCCTCTAACTTAAGGACATATTTTACGAACCACAAGATTTAGTAATAGCATGAACATTGTTTTGATCTCTGGATATAGTTTGTAACAAATGATGTAATTCCATGTGTGCTTCTTGTATCTCTAGCAGCAGTTAGTCCCTTGCTCAGTGAACAGCAGAGATCACCTTGTCTTAATTAGACAAATCTGAATGCAAGTAAGAAAAAAGTGGAAAATTGGTGTATTTCTTCTCTTATCTAAGGAGCTACAGAGATAAGTCTTGGAGATATTTGCTTAAAACCCAAATCTATAGGGAGATATATACTTTAGCAGCATTGTCTCTGTTGTTGACAGAGCTCCACCACTTCAAGTTGGTGAGTTTTCTTCTCTTAATCTTTCACTGAAATGTATGAATTTATTTATTTGTGGAGTGTAAATAAATAATAAATAGCAAACTTCATAGCCTCGTACTGTAACTTTTCAGTAAATGAGAAGATCACTGTTCCTTCTCCCATGCATTTATTCTGAGCTTTCATTTACACAGAACTTGAGGGAGATACTGGAAGTTTAATGCATTTGAATGTCTACTTACTGCCTGTCCTGATATGAATGAGATCACAGGATGATAGAATGAGTCACTGAATAGACCTTGGTTTTGAATAGACCTTAAAAACAGTTCCAACCCTCTGCCATGGGCAGGGTTGCCACCCATTAGGCTCCATGCAAACTGGCCTTGAATATTTCCTGGGATGGGGCACCCACAGCTCTCTGGGCAGTAGTGCCAGTGTCTCACCACCCTCTGAGTGAAGAATTTTTTCCAAACAACTAATATAAATCTCCCTTCTTGGTTTAAAACCATTCCTCTTTGTCTCTTCACAGTCTGCATGTGTAAGTGTTGTGCAGGTGATTTGGACCTCTGTGGAAAAAAAAAGAAAATCTGACAGTATTGGAGAAATCCCACTCATAACTTAGGTGTGCAAAGCTCAGGAAAGATAGAAGGACAAAAACTTAAAATGTAGGTGATCGTTATCTACAAAGTGCTCATCGTAGGTTTTCAGTAGCTGTCAACATTTATTAGGTATTAACAACATATGTTAGATATTAATCAAATGATAGCTCTTGACATGATTAGCTTCTAGAAAAAATGTTAGTTTTGTTCTCTAGAACGTAGGTAAGTGTGCACCTCTTCTTTGAAATACAACCTTGCTGATTCAAAGACTTTCCTTGTCCTCCCTTGTTCTTTCATGCGCTTTGAGAAGATGGTTAGTAAAATAAATAAAGATTTCTGACCTATTAAAATAAAAATCATCTCCAGCATCTGACCTCCTAAAAATACTTTTCAAAAAAGTTGGTGGGGCTTAGAGTCACGACATGGCTAGTGAGTGTTACAAGCTAAACATTAATCCTAAATAATTAATCTTTTTGACATGGTCAATACCTGAACTTCTAATTGAACCTACAATGTGTTGTTGGTTTTTTGTCTTGTCTCGTTCCTTTGCATTAGGATTACTCTGGTGACGATACGAAACTAGAATACAACGTAGATGCAGCCAATGGTATTGTTATGGAAGGCTATCTGTTCAAGCGAGCCAGCAATGCCTTCAAGACATGGAACAGGTAATTTACTCAGACCCTCTGGCTTTTTAAGAGACTACTTGTTAAGCTCAGTTCTGGTCTGACTTATAATGTGTGCAGCTTACTGATTCCACAGATCCAACAGAACCCTTGGACCGCTCTGTGAGTTTATGTAGAAAATGCTTCTCAACCATTTCTCCTTACTGTCTCTCCTAGAGGTTTGCAGGCCCTTTGTAAGAATGTATCTTGAAGTTTGGAGAAGTCCTATGTATGGAAGGCTTGCTTTATTGTCTGCAGTCTGGTTCTGTAATTGCACTGATCTTTTATTTTGAAACATAACAGTTATTATATGTAGTTTGCTATTTGAACATATATATTGGGAAAATAAGTGTTAAGTGATGATGTAGAATAGAAGCTGCACAGCTATTGGGAGCAAGGGAACGTAGCAGAGAACTCGAGGGCTGTTATTTTTCCTGAAAGATAAGCATTGTTGTTCTTTACAATTCCTGTGCTGGGCAGTAACTTGTGCATAGTAGTTTCGATGGTCCTGCTGGGAATTCAAAATACACTGTCAGTCTTGTCTGTTTAAAGATGTTTATTTTACTATTGTTTGAATGTTTTTATTAGTGAACAGGATTTCTTTTGCATTTCCAATGGTGTGCGCTTTTTTCAAGGAAATGTATTCTTGAGCATTTATGATATAGTTGAATGCAGTTCTTAAATTGTAAAGTTAGTTTGATATTGAGCTGCTCATACCGTCTCCCACTCCACAGTTTGCAGAAGTGCTTCTGTTAAGCAGTTTGCTGTGCTTTGAAGGACAGAATCTGCATTTGGATCTGTGACCTCTTCCAACCTTAATTCTGTAATTCTTTGGACGTTTTGGAATGTCACAAGTCGATAGGAAAATGCCATTGCTTCACCTAAATCCAGAAGCTGATGTAAGGGCTGCTGCAGTTGGTGAGACCGTGTTTACATTAGCAAGTGTTGTGCAGTTCCTCTAAGGGGCTTGCCTTGGACTACCTCTACTCTGGTCCTGTGGTCTGATTATTTGTAATTGTGACGTACCTTCTGCGTTAGTTTCACCCATGTGAATCTAGGGTTCTCCAGCACAACTCTGTGAGACACCTAAGAATGAAGAAGGGACAAAACTAGCAGATATGTTTCAAAAGCACATTCATGGTCAGAGGTAAAATGATAGTGTAAGTAGTGCAAGCACGCTTTGAGAAAACTGTACAGTAATGGGGCAGGAAACTGTCTTCCACTGAATTTACAACATGTTCAGAGAGTCCTTTTTGTGGGGTGTTCTGCAGGGTTATCTGCAGGCTCTTGATAAGTGACTTAAAAAAAAAACCCTCCTGCTTCAAGTTCTTCTGTCGTATGTTATAAAGGCTTTGCTCACTGGGAATGTAACAGAGAAGTCATAATTAATGAAAGTCATAGTGTAAGTTTACATGTTTGAGCATATTCAATTAAAATGTTTAAACAGTGTCATTTAAGAGAGCCAAGGTAAGCAGCTCAGTAATGAGTCAGAGCTAACCTACTTTAATACGTAGTTCATATTTGCTTGCAATTTTTTCTGTTTGTCACAAGAGTATTCAATAAAGCTAAGCTTTTCATCTTTTTTTAATCTGAAGTTCATAACTTATCTCATCATCCTAGGCTAGTTGCATGTGTCAGAACCAGGCAGTAGCATTTGATAAGCCATGTATAAATGTGGCTTAGAAATTGAAGCCATGATTTTAATTTTGTACTTCATACAGCCACAAACCATTGTTGTCTGCTGTGAAACTATTACTATTAAGCTACATAAAATAAAAACCCTCTTAACAAAGACAACTGTTAGTTATTTGATCTATCCCCATTCTTCACATTTTAATAAAACAAAAAAGTTTTATCCTGTTTTTATTTCTGAACAGATTTGTTACTGCTTGTTGTGCTGTAGGCGCTGAAGTAGCTTTTGCCTTTCTGTTGCTGGTTTCCACTGATGGAGTGCTTTATTCACTATTATTGCAGTTTCACCTTCACAGAGGCAATACTGACTGAAATCCAAACGTTTGTTAGAGGCTGCAGTGTGCTTCCAGCCATAGGAAAGGACTGTCTCCAATTTAAACAGTTCTGAGCATAAAAATATACAAGGAAATATTGGAGGAGGAAACATGTAGAGAATGATTTTATATGAGGGAATTCAGAGCAGAAATCTGAGGCCCTTGTGACAGGCTATTTTCAATCTCCCTGTCGGGTGGGTAGTTTGCTTCTTCATAATGTACCTGTCTTTTGTGAGAAGGTAAGGAATGGAGAAGCTGAAAAGAAACCACACAAAACTCTTCTAGAGGGAAATACTGGAGTTTCCTGGTGATCTGAAGATGGTGGTGTCGCTTATTCCATCTAACTGCTTCTGTAATGTCAGCTGTAATATGGTTGTTTCTCTTTTCTTCTCTGTCAGTATCAGTGTTTTGATGGTTTGAGAGGTTTTTAAAGTATTCCTTGACAACAATATTATGAAAAGGCATAAAAATCGCTGCATTGCCAGTGTTAAAAACAAGGACCAGGGAATGGTACAGTGAACTTTTCCTGGCTTGTACACATCACTATGATTCCATCAGATAATGTTGTGATGTTTCTGTGCATCCGTGGACTCCATTCTGGATTATCCTTGGACAATTCTGGTTGCTGTGGGGGGAAAAATTCAAATCCCAGTTATTTTTTGCTAGGATGGTGTAATTTCTTCCTTGGGCAGTTGGCAGCTTGGTTTACTGCAGTTAATTTGCACTTTCGTATCAAGCGTGCAAAATTATTTGGGATAATTCTGTATGGTGCTCACCTGAGAAATAGTTTGTGAGCAGGTTACGAAGTGAACTATAAGGGCTGTTTGTTGTTTGGCATTGCTTTGTTCTGAAATAGCTTAAGATTTGGGAATCTTCTTTATGCTGTATCTGCATGTATGTGTGTACTATGGATGCTTTAGTGGAAGCCAGATTCAGTACTGGGAAGTCTCACAGCAACTGGCATGGAGACCTGGTTTTGGAATGTATAATATATTTAGATCATATCTTTTTGTACAAAGATTTTCTGGAGGTATCAGGAAATGAAATCAATTGAATTTATTGTGGAACAATAGGTGGAAGACCTTTGATTCTTAGAAATTCAGATTTAAAATGGGTCTGTGTTATGAAATGTATGTGTGACTAAGAAAAGCCTTTATGAAACAGTACATTCTGAATAATTTTTAGGTTGGGTGCATTAGGTAGGTGTTTTCCTTTTTAATTCAGCTGTGTTTTCAGATCATGCTAATTCTTTGCTTATTTTGCTCATTTTGCATTTTTCATTCCTGTTCCTCCTTTCCCTTATGTTTTAATCCTACCCCATTTTTTCACATGACAGGAAAAAGCCAGATCACATCAGGTACCAACCAGCTTCTTTTATACCTTCCCAATGTTTCTTTGGCACGCAAAAAGCTCTAATTAACCCTGCATTTAATTTTGATTACTTGCAATGGATGTAAAGTGGCTCAGTCTAAGAAAATAACAGAAGGATTCTGCCTGGGATGCCAACCTGCTGCTCAACACTTGTAAAAGAATTAGTAAGATGGAGCTAGTTTTAGCTACAAAGGAATTAAAGCAAAGTTTATGCACTCAGTCTTCTGAGCATATGAGATCAATGTTTTGACTTTTTCCTCTGTAGATTGATGGTTTTTCTCTCACCAACTACATTGGAAATAGAAATGTAACTTTTGAATGTTGTGCATTCTTAATCATGGTTTTATGCGAATGCTGATGGCAACCAATTAAGAAAATGGTTTCCTTTTGAAAATGGAGAAGCACAATTCAATGTAACATTCAAATAATTTAACATTATTTTTTAGTACTTCTTGTAGCTCTCAGAAATTTGAAATGCTTTTCAATTAATGGTGTTGTTTTCTATTTAAGAAACAGTTCTTTTTTTTTTTAATTGTGTGGGTGAGAATGATTGGAACCCATTTAGTTTTTAAACCCAAACAGCTGTTTTGAAGTACTCCTATGAACTCCATGGGGCAGTGCCAACTGCTGTAAGATTTCCCTAGAGGAGTCTTTTCTGTTTTACTGTGCTTTTCTCCTGCCTTTTTACAGAAGGTCACATTTGAAGAAACTTTGGTGACTTTCAGCCTAACAGCACCTGTTGCCTGAAGGTGCACAAACAGGAGATAGATGTACCCTACAAATAGATACACCCTACAACAGCCCCTTCAGTCCATATGTTCTAGCTCAAAAGTGCCTGCCTGCTGCAAGTTAGTGCTGCAAGCCCCCAGCACTCTATTTACTACAGTAGTTTATTGACAATTTTTTTTTAATTTACAAAACAACATCGATTTTTGGCCTGAATAAAATGACTGTGGTACTGATATGTCAGAAGAGAGGCTGCCACCTTTGTTTTTTAAAGCATACAGTGAAATATATTAGCTTATCACCTTCAAAAAATGGGAGCTACAAGTCATACTATGCTCTAAATTATAGATCCTATTCAGTGAAAGTTTCTTAAAAAAATAAAAATTTCCCTCCACACACCTCCCATCCCCAAATGCTTCTTGACTGAACTTGGCAAGTTCCATTAAGGACTGCATTTCCCTGATGCAGGTCACTGTTCTGCATTATTCTGCTCCATTATCTTAATGCAAAAGTTGACAGCTGTTATGGCGGAAATCCAGTATTGAGATTTGTTTTTAAAATGAAATACATCTGCACAACATTTCAAAGAATACTTGTAAAAAGGTAGAATCTCATCTGTCTACTAAATATTAACTTTTCTAACAAATACTAGCTTTCCTGATTGGAATCTAACTGTCTCATATATCTTAATTTTTCCTTTTATATTTTCTTAACAATCTTTGTGTGCTCCTTTCTATGAATGGCTTGTGGTGATCAAACACATTTATGGAGCCCTCTTGTTACTAATTTTAGTGAACCATAGCTTGATATTCACAAGTTTGTACTGCAGCGTATGTTGTTCTTCACAGGATTTTGTGCACTGTTGGCACTCAAACTAGTTGGCCGTGCAGAAAACAGGGATGTGCAGTGTGTATAAATGGGATATTTGTGGTAACTGAGCTGCTGTGTTACAATGAGCACAGGTTCATATTACAAACCTGTACAAAACCAATGTATACAAACTTCACTGCAGGACTGAATTAAAATTTTGTATTATCAAATTTTTGTGCAGTTCAAAACCAGTGAGGATTGGTTTTCCCTTTTCTTTTGTGCATCCCCAGGAGAGCCAGAGGCAGATGGCCATGTTTGCTTCTATTTTCATATTTGGTGATCTGATAGATGCAGTTCTAGATTTGAGATGCTCAGAATTTTTCCCAAAACATGAACTATTCTTCCATTTGCTGTGAATTGTATCCCATCTGAGCAGGAGTTGGACAAAGAAGGGGGATTTTTTTTTTTTCCTTTAAGTGTTATCTTTTGGATTTTATTGGATGCCTTAATTTATTTTTTAATAGTTTCCTATAAAACTAATCAGTAAGATCCTCCTTAATAGTTGCTTTGTGTTTATATGCAGTATTTTCTATCTAAAATTTTAAGAAATGCCAATGTAGAGAGACCTCCATGGCGTAGCAATAATCTAGTTTTGTCTAAGGGCTAGGTAAGTTATTCGATAGCTCTATTCCTGAAAGTATTTCAGGAGTGAGTAGTTAAAATGTTTTAGTACTTTCATTATTTAAACTATTATTATTGAATTACTTGAAGTTGTAGTTTGCTGCTAAAATACAGATGTAAATGTTCTTTGAAATGAAAATGTTTTGTATCTTAGCGTTACTAATGTCATAACACGAATGTATTTGTTCAGGATTCAAATTATTTGAAACTTGCTTTCTTTTTTCGTTTTGTCTCTGCTGTCCCTTTTTCTCATGAAATACTTGTCCAAACTGACTGCAGAATTAATACCATGAATTCTTTTTCACTTACAGTCTCTCTGTAGACTGTATCATAGTATATTTCAGTCAAGTAAGTACTGTGAGATCAGTTTCATATTGTTTGGATGTCTCTTTGTTTGAATAGGCGCTGGTTCTCCATACAGAATAACCAACTCGTGTACCAGAAGAAATTTAAGGTAGGTATGGAAAGCTATCTTGGAATAGTTTTATGTGGATGTTCATCTTCCTCGTCAGGGTGAGAGAACCAGAGAGTTGGCATGGATGTTCTACGTGGACTTGAACAACCTACTTCATTTTCTGAATTAGTTTTTCCCTTTGTAAAATGAGATAAACATTGTACTTACAGATGTGGAGACTTGTAAGCAATGCTTTATTTCTTGTGCTTTTGTTACCTTGTTGCAGAGAAGACTCACAAGGAGCACTGAGAGCTGCTGATAACAAAAGGCTTGTGTACACTTGTTGGCAGACTGAGTGCTACGTAGTGTTCTTTGGACAAGTCCATAAGGATTTGCTCTTTCCCATTACTGGCTGGACTCACAAACCCAGTTTTGCAATCGTAGAGAGGAGAAAATGACGTGAAAGTATTTATTACAGATGCTATGTGCACGTACTAATATCGAAAGTGTAAGGCAACTCAGCAGTTGATATCTGTGGCAAAGTACAATTTTTCACATCTGCTGTGACAGCAGCTAGAGCAGCTCTACCCCAAGCCCAGAATTCAGTTTTTTCAGCTAGCATTTGGGCAAGTGTTCCTCTGATTTATTCTTCTAGAATCAGCTTGTGCACCACATGGCTGTAACTGCTCTTTGTGGAAAAAGAAAATAAAAAGTAGAGAACTGAATAGAGAAGGCAATAAGTCAATAAAGGGAAGTTTATGGTTATTCATTGTTCTTCAGCATTAACAGCCCAGGTTCAGGGCTTACTGCTTGTTAACTGATATGCTGTCAGGTAATACAGTCTTTGTTTTTGTGGTTGGATAGGAGACAAGTGGTGGAATTTGTGTTAGTACATTTTGAGCACTTTCTGATTGTGAAGTGCAGTTGTGTTTTGATACATTTTTATATTACAAAGAGCACCTTTAAAATTGCATTATTTTAGAATGGATATCTTTGGAGTTGAATCAAGTTTTCAAAAGTACTCAGTCGTGGTTTCTGAATTTTGTGCTTGGCACTTAAAGTGTGGCTTATTTAGGCATAACCTGTCTGATTTCTGTATTAATACATATCATCTCAGAAAGTATCTTTGAGCTCCTTTAAATGCTGTTCTTTAAGCTATTGATTATTTAGTTGATTGGATTCTAGATGGCAAGACAACCTCAAAATTCTCATAGAATATGACTGAGCATGGGAATTGAAATAAATATTTCCTGCCAAGTATGTCCAATGTCACTTATTTCAAATTTCATTTCTGATGGAAAAATATATGTGAAGCAGTGAAATTAAGTGAGAAATAATTTGAGGGTATCAGCTACTTTCTTTCATTCATCTCTGCCTTTTATGTTTTCTCCCCTAGGATAATCCCACAGTAGTTGTTGAAGACTTGCGGCTTTGCACAGTTAAACACTGTGAAGACATAGAAAGACGTTTCTGTTTTGAGGTGGTTTCTCCAACAAAGTAAGGAGAAGTGATGGAGCATGTTTATTTAAAAATTAAATGGATAAATAACATTGTTAGATTCAGCTGCCTTGAAATGCAGGATGAATGTGTCTCGTGGGACAAATCAAAACAGGGAAAATATCTGAGCAATTCTGTTCTCTGAAACTTTGGCTGGGAGAAAGTGATGCTGTGAGAAGTATTCCTAGTATTTAATTTACGTCTGGCATTAAAATAAACATGTGTTCCTATGTTTTATGTATAAATGTCTTGTAGTCATGGAGCTGTTGTGGTTTAGTAGCTGGTATTAATTATCAAGCTGCTTAGCAGCCTAGAAAGTAGCTAATCAGAAACAAAGAATAAGTTTTCCTTTGACTGTCCATATAAAAAAGGTTTTTTTTGTTTTCCTCAGAGCTTTCAAGTCATTTTCTCTTGGTTTTGGTGAATGAATTAAGCTTTCAGGGACTGATAGCTGTCTCTTGTGTAGATAGTCGTGGACATAAATCATCATATTTGAGAATGTGAATAAGAAAAAAAAATCAGAAATAGGAGATTAAGCAGTTCTCTGGGTTATTTGAAGGGTCATATCCATGTTTTAAGGTTACCTATAAATAGTTTTGAAACCAGGAGTTTGTAGGTCATAAAGTTAGCTGCCTTATTATCTGCAAATAAATGGATTTATTACACAGTGCATAATAAGCAATAAACATATGTTGACAGCAACAAACTTTGACAAGGCTCTATGTTTGATTGAACAGCATGTTGTTTGATGTAAGCTGCTTGTTTGGCTTCTGTCTCTGAGGGCATTGTGTGGTTCTTCACAGAAGCTGCATGCTCCAAGCTGACTCGGAAAAGCTGCGGCAGGCGTGGATTAAGGCTGTTCAGACCAGTATTGCTACAGCATACAGAGAGAAAGGGGACGAATCTGAGGTGAGTTTAAAGATCAACCAAATAGCAACTACCTTTAGATCTTAAGGAGTAAAAATAGCAAGAACTTCTGGAGAAAGGGGAACTAAAAATAAAATAAAATCCATTGTTTGTCTTCCAGTGGAAATGCAATGAAATTTTGAAGGCTCCGATCTTCTAATTTGTCTTTCCTTCCATCTTACTAGCATTGCTTTGGCCTGTATGTTTTGAAGTTTTTCTGTAGTGTCATTGTAATTTGTAGGATTGATTGCTGGATATTCTTACACTTCATTCTGTATTATTTCTAAAAAGCTGAAGATATTTTCCAGTTCAGTGGCTTTCTTTGGCTTTAAATGCAGAAGCTTTTTTTCTAGAGTTCTAGTGTACTGTCAGTATTTCATTATTCACAGGATCATCTTTAATGTAGTGTATTTTTTTTTTTTTTTTTTTTTTTTCAGAAACAGGAAAAGAAATCATCCCCTTCTACTGGAAGCCTGGAATCTGGCAGCGAGACAAAAGAGAAGTTGTTAAAGGGAGAAAGTGCTCTACAGCGAGTTCAGTGCATTCCTGGTAATGCTGCCTGCTGCGACTGTGGCCTGGCAGATCCTCGCTGGGCCAGCATCAACCTTGGAATCACACTGTGCATCGAGTGCTCTGGGATACACAGGTTGGTGGGCTCTTCAGAAGTATAATTGATTTAAATGGGAAATGCGGTGTTTGCCTCTTAAAACAGACATTGAGGGAAGGTTAGAGACCCCTTTTAGTAAACAGAGTGAAAGTGACGTGCTTTATTTGCATAAACCATTGTGAAGTGATCTGAAATAAGACAGAGCACACTGTAACAGTTTCTTTTTGTTGTTTAGGAGCTTAGGAGTCCACTTCTCAAAAGTAAGATCTCTGACCTTGGATTCATGGGAACCTGAACTTCTGAAGGTAGGATGTTATTTTTGAAATAAGAGTTTTTGTCTGCTACGTAGGTTTTTTGTCTAAAGCCAAGGCATCTGAATGTTCATGCAGGAAAAAATTGCATTTGTACTCAGTGTACCTCTTGTGCTTTTGAGTAGAAAATATTTGTGATGATGTATTTATTAACTCACTGCTTTTATACAACTCGCTGGATTAGTAGTCATTCTTGATACAAACTTGATACAAAGTCAGAACACTCTGTGACACTTAGGTTCGCAAATGCAGTTTTAAGTACTAAAGTTGATCTGATACTTTCAACATATGAAAATGATACAGATAGTGTAGTGGGCTGAAAAAATTTAAGTTCTATGTCATATTAAAGCGGGAATATTTTTGAAAATTTGGATGCCAACCGTTAGAATGAGATTTCAAATGTTTCTGGGAGACTGTTATGTGTAACTGCTACTGTGTGCTGTACATGTGCCAGAATTCTAATTTAAAAATGAAAGTCATATGACATTGAAATACAGAAATAGGAACGAATGCAAGGATGCATGTGTGCAGTTGGATAGTTGATGCACTACACTTGTTTGTAGCTCACATTCTCATACTTGCATATTACATTTCTATTCTGAAGAACAGGAAGACAGTATGAACAGGGATGTTGTTTGACCCAAAATAATTTTAGTACTAATGTGCTGATAATGAGCGGGTAGAAAGAAAATCAAAAGAAAAATACTTGCTGTGTTCACGTACGTAAGATCTTAATGTTCTACGTGGTAGTAGGAGCAAGTAATCTTTCCACTCTTGTCTTGGACAAGATGGATCAGAATTGAGTGAATTGTGTCTTGCCAGATGGGATAAGAGGAACTCACAGCAAAGCTAGTGGAAAGTAATGCTTTTGAGGCCCACAACTGTCATTATGATTGCAGGAAAAAAAGATTCTTGATGGTCATTTTCTTAATCCTGTTTCAGAAGGGAATTGTACTTAACAAAAATACAGTTATTGTAATCTTGCACTGTTTGGTCCCTTTATCTGCTGATATTTCTTTATCATGAAATATTTTTCTAAGGGAACTCACAAAACTTAGTGAAAATACTGAGCTTTAAAAATAGTGTAAGATAAAACTACTAAATAAGTAGATAAAGCCATTTGCAATTGTATTTGAATTTATTTATTTTTCTTCATAGCTTATGTGTGAATTAGGAAATGATGTTATAAATAGAATATATGAAGCAAAGTTGGAAAAAGTGGGAGTAAAGAAGCCTCAGCCTGGAAGCCAAAGGTAGTAATGTGCTTCACTTTCATTTGTTCATCCTTTCATTATAGCTATAAATCATATTAAATTAAACAACATGTGTCATCATTTAATACCAATGCAACTAAACTTCCCCTTCTTAGCATCTGATTTTTCCATTTCCTCTGAGTCTTTCTTTGAATGACTTCAACTCCAGTGGCCTAACAGCTGTGCTTATTTCCTTTGTCCTGTTACTTTCTTCTGCCTCCAGCCTGAAAAAGGTGCTGTCACTTAACTGTGTTTAACACTTTCCTCTTCTTTTCTCCATGTAAGCAGTATATTTCTCCTGCTTCTTATGGGTATTCCTTTTGTTAGTCTCCTTTGGTTTCTATAACACACTTCTGATCTCACTTCCTCCTTCTGATGACAACCCTATAGCATCCTGCTCTGCCACATCAGTGTGGGCAGGTTGGTTTTGTTTCTTGTTTGCTTTGCACCATCTCAGCCAGCTCTTGTGTAAGGTGCCCTGAAAGGAACCTGTGGTTCTGACTTTTGTTTACAGTGGCTTTGTTCTTTTATTTTTGTTCCCTAATCTCCCGGCATGCTCTTTTCTCTCTCTTACTGCTGTCTAAAATTTCTGTTTGTTAATGTGTTTAAAGATATTTCCTAACGTTTTGTTACAACATAAAGTATAAGTCTTTTAAAACATTTTTAGTGGCTTTCCAATTCTGTGCTGCTTGCTGTCAGAGTTTCATGCAGTAGAAAACTATGATTCATAAGGTACTGACAATTTGGTGATGTTGTAATATCATTAATACTGTAGGAGATTTGCTAGATATTCCTTCTAGTGATAACTGCTTTTCAGCAATTTCAATAACAGCAATTTTATAAGCTCTGTCATCATTTTGTCCCAGTTGGCTTATCACATGAAGATAATACTGGGCTTCAGGAAAAAAATATATAGCATGCATTGTGCAGCTGGTGGTTGTGCCCACCTGGGGCTTTCATTTTTGTTCTCTCATGCAGTCTTGGTGTTCCTTTAACAAATGTTTTTACTGAAGAATCTAAATAAGTGTGATATTAGTTGATTATTGGCAATATAGAAAATGTGCCTAAGGGACTTATATCAAGAGTTATGTACAGTAACTAATGTTTTTCTTCCACATACTACTTTCTAAAGCATCTGCCTGACAGAAAATGTACCTATCCAATCATAGCATTTTCTTTTAACTTCCTAAAATTTTCATAAGTTGCATTCTTTTGAGGCTTATACAAAATTTCATCAAGAATCCAGAGAGAGTTGGATAATGTGCTCTTCATCATTATAAAAATGTCATTTAGTATCCTATGTGCAGTGCCAAAGTGCAGTTTGATTACTGGCATTAGTATGAAGTGGTTGTTTTTGTAGAAAAGATAATAAAATCTGAGCTTACTAACTCCAGGCATTTTGTATATGACAGACAAGAGAAGGAGGCGTACATCAAAGCAAAATACGTGGAAAGAAGATTTGTAGAAAAGCAGCCTGCAGCAGCAGTATCTCCACTTGAATCCAGAACAAAAGTTTTACCTCAAAGCCAGGAAGAGAAAAGGCACAGTGCTCCTGAAAAATCCCTTTTGGCAGTAGAACAAGGTGTGGCATCTCCAAGAGGTATCTACACATTTCTCTCCTTAGCTACCTTACAAATGTTCTTTTTAAAGTATTTTTAAAGCTTTTTGTATTTACTGATTTCCTGCCCCAAGCAGAGTAGTCCTATCAGTGGGTCACGGCCTAGTTCAGAGATATAGGGAAGAAAAGGCTTGCTGAGAAATGTACATTTATTAGATGGGAAGTTTGTGGACTGGGGATGCTTACCATTCAGAAACATATTAACCACCTTCTTTCCTCCGTATTTTCATCCTTATTTTTTCCAATAATGTTCTTTCCTGCCCTATTCCTTCCTTACTGCCTGCTTTGTGCTTTGCTAACTTGCATGTCCCAGCGGTTGCTGTAAGTAGCGACGAGGCGAGGCGGGAGTCTCTGTTCTGTCCTGATGAACTAGATTCACTCTTCTCCTACTTTGATACCTCTTCAAAGCTACGTAGTAGTAAGTACTACAGCAGTGGCATGTTCAGTATTTGCACTAGTGATCCATTGTGTGTTGTGGCCATCTCCCTGCCTTTGATCCATTGTCTCCGGGCTACTGCATTGCTTAGTGTTTTCATGAAATAATTTAAGCTTTTTTACTTATCCTGATTTTCCACCTTTATGATAATCTTTGATACTGTTGTTATGAATTTTATAGTTGAAGTATGTGACTTCAGATTTATTTTAGTGGGTTTGTGAGAAAAATAATGAACAAGTACTTGTTACTGGGGAGAAGAAAAAAAATTCAGGACCAAGTATAAGAGCTTGCTTTATTATCATGGTGTATGTGAAGAGTAGGTAACTTGTAATCTGCATAGTGATGTTAATTTCTCCCCAAAACAGTAAGAAGCAGTGACAGTGGGATCCAGCAGAGTGTTGATGACAGCAGAGAATACCTTGCCTCAACTATATCAGCTAACAGCTTGTATGAACCAGGTGCGTTTGGCTTTGTGTTTCAAGACAAATATTTCATCTTTTTTCTGCTAGCACATTCCATCAAAGGGTTTAGTACTTTATGGTAAAGTTCACGTGTCTTTTATCCCAGTATGCTGAAACATTTTAATAAGGGTAATAATTGCTTGGGTTGTCTTTCTCTCCTCTGTGCTTGGTAGCAAGAATGTCATAGAATCCTCCTAAATAAGTTCAGAGAATTTTTTAGTCCATGATATTGAGCCAGAACTTCTTTTTAGCAGAATGGAACACTGCTTCATCTTGGCACAGAGAAGTCTTCAGAGAGTTGCACCAATCATTTCATAAAGAGTTACGATGTTGGAGATGGAATTCCTGTTAAGTCACAGATTATAAGCTTTGTATGTTACTTCAACATTCTTGCTTAATTTTTGTTTTCTACGTACGTGGAAGTGATCATACCTTTAAACATTAATCCACATATCTAAAGCTTTTCTAAACTGATAAAATTATCTATTATCAGTATCCTGGGCTGATAGAGTATAGCTTGTTAAAATATGCAAAGCATATATTTACAAAGCAAGCTTATACTTTTACATCACAGCACACTTCTGAGGTACATTTCAAGTACAGTAGTTCACAGCTGTGGCTTGTAGGCAAGCAGTATGTGCCTTAGATCTTCTGACTGCATTGTAGAAGCAGTTATGAAGTAACTCATGAAAGCTTATGTATAAAATGTCTTCCCACACTTTACTGTGTGTAACTGTTGTTGAGATAAAAGGATTTGGTTTAGTCCAAAGGATTACAGCCCCAGCAAGTAATTTATATGTAAGAACGATATCTTTAAATGAAAACTCTCAGAACAATATTAGCCTTGTTATATTCAGCTGTATTAAACTTTTGCAGATATATTTGTATGACTACATCTCAGCAGGAAATTCATATCTTTTTTGAGACCAGCCAAGCTTCTTATAGTTATTATTTATTTTTTTTTTAGCAATTACATGGGATAGGTAGGTTGAAGGATATTCACAAATGCCAGCAATGTGAAGAGAAGGTTTTCTGGGCAGAATTCTGAAGTGTCCATACTCAAGTGCTGGAATAAGCTATAGGCATGTGTGAAGATTTCTGGTAGAACGGGGCGCCAATGCAAACCTTTCTGTGAAGTCTGAGCTACCTTATGCCAAAAATGTACCTTACAAAAACAGAGATTACAGATGAGCTTTTTCTTTTAAAAATTTCTTTCAGAAGGAGAAAAGCAAGAATCTTCTGTGTTCTATGACTCCAGACAGCTTAATCCAGGATTGCATCTTTATCGAGCTGCCTTTGAGAAGAATCTTCCAGATATGGCAGAAGCATTGGCCCATGGAGCTGAAGTAAATTGGGTCAATATGGAAGAAAACAAAGCAACTCCACTCATTCAGGCAGTGCGAGGGGTATGTGATATACAGCACCCTGACTGATGTGGCAGGAGGGGAGGGGGACTGCTTCTTTTGAACTACTTGCTTTGCTCATGAATGATAATGTGATACTGAAATTGTCTTTACAAAGTCCTTTCAAAGTTATTTCTGAACTATTTTTCCCCAGTATTACGGTTGGTTACTTTTTGTTTGTTTGTTTTTGGTTGTTATACAACCTGGTAGCGTACAGTAGTGATACAGAAGCAATCCCTTTAGGTTCCTTTACCATAACACTCAGTGGTGACAAGGCAGGATGGTTTTCACTCTGATTCTAGAGATCTGGTGCTAAACTGTTTCTTTTGCTCTTCTTCCATAGGGTTCATTGGTTACTTGTGAATTCCTGCTGCAGAATGGTGCCAATGTGAACATCAGGGACATGAAAGGAAGAGGACCCCTACACCACGCCACAGTTCTAGGACACACAGGGTACCTCACTGTTCCAGAATTTGACAGTAGTCACTGGTTACTGCCTTTATTAATGCAAAGCTTCTTCACTTCCCCCACATATTCGGACATTTTAATTTATTTCAGATCATAGAGTTTTTTTCCTTTAAACTTTTGTGATGAGAGCACTTAAAACATTATTTCCCCACTTACCTCCTAGCAGTACACATGCCTGTAAACACTTCAGTCCATGTTGGAAAAATGTGTGTTTGATAATACTTCTGAAATAATGTGGGTTTCTTGTGAAGATTCATGAAATTTTCCTACGAAAAAGAGAAGCAAGTAAGAGAAATAGCGGTGAGTGTGGACCAGAGCTGTTTCTGGTTCATCTCACATTTTGAAATGAAATGTACTACGTCACATTTTGAATTTTGGAATCAGGGCTTTAAACTGCAGCCTTGTGCCAGCTTAATTCAAATGAGGACATAATCTGTTTTGTGGCACCCATCCTCTTTGCATACATGAATTCTGAATAAAGTGCCAAGTTGACAGCTTGAGAGAGTTTTAAGGTCTAAGCTTAGTCATCATGCCCTGCTTGTGTAGGTGATTTATGTACACGTGTGCATATATACAGGTATATAAATGAAAAATAGCCAAGAAAAATGAGGACAGATTCTACTTGGTAAAACACGCATCTGTGCCTAGGGATTCTGTACTGTATTAATTTATCCTGCACAGTATTTCTCTTCTATCATAGTAAAAGGTGTGAAGTTTTATGGTTCTGTGACCTCAAATGACACAGGAAGGAAAAGGTTTACCTTCTGAAGGGTTCAACTCAAAGCTGCAGTAGAATGATTAGGCAGCTTAAATACCGTTCAGTACTTTTTGGAAAGCTAGCTAAAAGCTTTGCTTAATTATCTGTTGATATCTTATTATTATAGGCGAACAGTGGTATTCAAGAGACTTTTGGTGATTTAAGTAAAATATATTGCATCCTGCTTGGTTTTTTCTATTAGCTTTTTTTCCTTTATTGTGACGGAAATTATTCTTAAATTATATCTCTAAACAGGCAAGTGTGTTTATTCCTAAAACGAGGAGCAAACCAGCATGCTACTGATGAAGATGGGAAAGATCCACTGAGTATAGCTGTAGAGGCTGCAAATGCAGATATTGTAACATTGTAAGTTCTTTGTTTCATTTCTAATGAGGTGTCTAAGTTTTCCATACTGCTTCTATTTTAAAATGCATTTTATATCAAAATTACATGTCAAAATACAAAATACATGTTATGTCAAATGTACATAAAAACAGGGAGAGCAAAATAAAACTGAGTGCACTGAACGTAGATGACCTCACTATGAGGTTCAAGAGCACGCTGTAGGTCTTGGAATGGCAGCCTTTTTTCACTGCTTTACAAGTGACATTGTTCTTTTTCTGTTTCCCACATCACAGGTTGCGTTTAGCAAGGATGAATGAAGAAATGCGTGAATCAGAAGGGCTCTATGGACAGCCAGGTCAATACTCTACTAATAACCATACTGAGATGCAGTACAAGAAATGTATTCAGGAATTTATCAGTTTACAGCTAGATTCTTAGGGTCTGAAGAAAATTTAAGATAACTTGGTACAATATTTTTTTTTAACAGTATCTACATGTTAAAGCTTCATTATGGTGCAGCTTTGTCAGATTATTTAGGAGACCTAAAAGGAAAGTGTTTAAAGCACATAGTTATGGTAGTTTGTTAGTACAACTCTTACCAATCTTTTTTGCTGCTGGTTGTTCGGTTTTCTCCTACTGACATTTCTCTGAAACTGATGTAATGTTAGGATTTATCTGACACAGAGTGGCAGCCTTATAGGCCAGGTTGCTCAGAGACACTTGAGAAGTTCATCTTAGTACAAGATACCATTCTTCTTCCTTTAGAATGGACCTCTTTTTTTTTTCTTAATTTTTTTTAAGAAAAAAAATTCTACGCCAATGTAAAAATGTGTATCAAATATTTCAAAATATCTCCAAGCAATTCTGAAAGTATTATTTCTTCCTTTTAAAAAATATTTTTAGTTAAAATCTTAAACAAGACATTCATTCTTAATTATGTATTTTTGTATGCATTCGGTTTTTTAAAGTATATGTATCAGGCATTTGAGTCCACTCATACCAGAAAATAACATTATTTAATGAGTATGTGCAACTTATTCTCAGGCATTCTGTCCCAGTTTATAACATGTTCTGATATGACATTTATGCAAGCCATTTCCTCTGCTTCCTCAAGCCAATATGCTTCCATAGGAACCTAATTTAATTTCATGCAAATATCAATAATGAATGTATAGTTAATTGTCAGGTTATTCAAGGCAATCATAAAAATATGCTATCCCCAGCAGTAGTGAAAGAAAAACCTTTTTAAGGCTGAGTGCCAGGTAATCTTGGCTCACTGCCCATCAAGCCTTTATATTTGTCAGTGATTCATAAGGACTGTGTGCTTATGCCTCTTAGCAGTTTGGGGCTGGGATATACTCAAGGGGCCTTGTTGAGTGTCCAGTAACCCAAACGGATGGTATCAAATGAACAGAACTTCTATATTTCATAAAGCTTCTCCTGAAGAATGGTTGTGTTACAAATTTATCTTTAAACAAAACTCCTAGGAAATTTGAATTAAAACAATGAAAGTAGTGAAGATCACTCAGACATTTACGTGCTCTCTTTGGAGGAGCAACAAATGAATTAGAAATAAGTACTCAATTATGAGCATAATACAGAAGAATCCTCCACCCAAAATGTAGCGGTTACATATGTGAAAGAAAGAATCTATTGCCTGTTGGCTCACATTGAATTTGAGGCTGTTTTCTGATGTCAAGCATGCTACTTCACATGCATGCTACTTCACTGACAGGCTGGAGGTAACAACTACTGGAGTAGTTGTGATTTTCCTACTTCTTTTTTTAAGTGTTAAAAATAATAACTACTGGTTTCAAATAGTGAAATGCATTTCTTTTAGGGGAGGTGATAACTTTGATTCAAAAGTTATGCTTTAGGTCATAAATGAACACTCTGGATCATTTAATTGACATGAAAAAATCTAAAACTATTAGAAAACAGAAAGTGTATTTCTGTGTTTGTACAAAAGCCTAAGTTGGTTCCTAAATATTACAATACTTACTTCCTTACTTACTTTGGCTGAATTCATAAGAAATTCTGTCACATGAAAGCATGAATGTCCATGTCTTTAAACTGAAGATGAGGGAAGTCTGTTTTCCCTGTTATATTGCTTAAAAATGGTCTAGACAGATTCTTCAAATAAGTAGAGAAAACAAAAAGCTTGGTACATCTTTTATCAAAGATACCTGGGCCTTCTTAACAGTACAGTAGAATCTGGAAACTGCAGCCAATGCAATCTGGTCCAGACATTTTTGTGTAGACAATCTCTGATAACTGTGAAGGGGCAAGATTGATCTTGGAAAGTGGAGCCAGCACAAGGCATAAAGCTTGCCCCGAATCAGAGGGAGGGTGGCATTAGAGTAGCTGTTATAACTCTGACCAGGAACTGTACAGGGCAGTGTCCAGGCCAGAAGATCTGACTGTCTCTTTGGATACAGCAGTACTTTACCTGCTGAAGTTTCCTAGAAAGCTGAATAAGTATTTGAGTGTTTTAAATGTTGATGTCTGCTAGCCTGCTAGGATTGTGAAACTGTGCAAGCGTAAGCACAAAACCCCTCTCTGCTGTTAGAATAGAGTAGTTCAGTTGGAAGGGACCTTCCAGAATCATCTAGTTGAATCGTTTTGATGGATGTTCCCCTTACTTGGCCATAGACAAAGCAGGTCTTTTTCACTACACAGACATGCTTAAGTATCTGCGCTACGCTTATTTTAGAACTCCTCTTTTCCAAAATTGTGTTTCTAAAAGATGAGGATTGTACATTTGCTGGGAGATATGTATACATGGGATATACATATCTCATATATGGGATATACATATAATATATGGGAGGGTAAACATCAATGTAAGAGTTTGTCATCACAACGAAGCAGACTGCATATTCCTCTGCTTCAGTATTGCAGTTGAGAAGCAATTACTAACATAGCTGATAGTGTCAGCATTTCTGATTTTAATATACTTGGCTGGTTTGAGCTACTTAGGGAATGTCTGTGTTGCTTTGCAAGGTATAGTTGGTCTTCCAGAATAATATTCTTAGAGTGGGAACTAGCTGAAATGAGCCAAATGTAGAAGCCATACGCACCATCGTACTGATTCTCATATGATACTTGAGTGCTCATCTTCTGGTGCTGCAGTATGTCTGCTAACTATTTGATATTAGAACTGCTACTCTTTCTTCCTGTCTTTTCTTGAATGTATCATGTGTGCCTTTTAATTTACTCTGGTGTTAAATGGTAAAGAAGTGTTTCAGTATTTTTGTACATAAAATCTGCACTTTAGTGAAAACATTGCTTGGAAAGAGGATTTCCAGAATTAAACTTTAAGATTTTAAAAGAATAAGGTTTACAGCATTAAATATTTTAATGCAGCATACAAACTAAAGGGGCACTTTATTTTACTCTATTTTTGTATGTAATATTTTTGTTATGTAATATAGTAAAAATCAGAGCCACAACATATCTTACAAAAATAGCTTTTTTCTTTCAAGTTTGTTTAAGAGAACTAAATATGGCTACTTGAACTGCAGTAGTAGTTCACAAATGGAACCCATGTCTGTATTAAAAGCCTCATTTCTTGCATCATACTAGTTTGATTCTGATTTGTGCTCCTCAAACCTAGTCTTAGGATGGATCTTGCAACTTCTTTCGTTCTGTGCTTATTCTCCATTGCAAGCAGTTACCAGAAACTTGTGATAAAGTGTGTTGTGTGCCTGTTTCATCTCTAGAACGTACTTGAACCTAAACCTGAAAACCAAAAGAGATTTCCCTAGAATGAGAGCTTCCTAGCAGAGTAGTGCAGAATTTATTTGTCCTTTAAAGTCTGCACAGAACTGTCACTACACTTCTGTGTAACCCCACGTACTGCGTGAAGTATTTGCAGAAGGTCAGTTAGCACTTCTGAAAGTGTTTTCAATTGATGCATCCTCATCTCCAGTATTTGAAATGTAGAATGGTTCTGATACTGGAAATGTGTATTAAAAAGATGGAAAACAGAGCAGTGTAACTTCTCACACAGTAAATCCTTTTTAAAACTGTCCTTTTGAAAGAAGAGGTGAAATGGTGATTCCTGTGCAGTCCTGCTGTTGTAGGAGGGGAAGGGAGGGGAGGGGAAAAGGAGGGGCTGAGAATCACATTCAACCTATGTGATAATAGATATTGTTAGGTTGATTTCTTTGTCGTATTATTAATCAAGTTGTCAGCAGGGAACAGTAATGCTGAGATTTTGTCCCATGCGGTCATCTGCTGTGGGAAGACAGGAAAATCTGGATGGCTGAATATTTCCTGACTGGGCTGAATGCTTTACACATTTAGTTCCCTTTGAAGTCAGTGGGGTGTGGTTAATGTTTTCAAATGAAATGAGAACTCAAGGCCCAAAATATTGCAGCAGATGGAAAACAAACCACTTTAAAATGGTAGAAGAATGACCTGGCAATGAATCAAGAAGTAATTTCTCTTGAATGTGATTTTCCAGTTTGGAGAAAGATGGGAAGACAGAGCAGGTGCAAATCACTGCCTTGCCTTACTCTGGAATAGAGCTGTGCTTGTTGTCAGGTTGTTCTTAAACACAAAGGGTGAAGATAAGAAACACTGAAAAATGTTTAAGGAAGGTATTGTTACTTTTAGAGATAAACCTAGAGGATATAATGGATGTCCAATGATGCAGTAAAAATTTATACTTGCTTAAGTAGTAGTTGAAAAGCTTTTATGACCAACAACTAATTATTCAGGATTGCTTTTTATAGTATTGCTTGCTAATTCTTTGATGGAGAGTTCTGTCTGGCTGTTAGACTTCTGGCCTGTTTCCCAGCAAAGCTTCATTTACGCCGTAATTCTAACTTCCTGAGCAGAGTCTTGGTTAACACGTCCTTTCAAAAATGACTTTTGTTCTTCGATAGCTAATAAACACTTTTTGTTTTACATTGCTTTAAAATGCTTGCACTTTTCCTTTCTAACTCTGGACTTTCCTCTGTGCGGCTGCCTTTGAAGTACTATTTCAGGTATAGTTTGGCTTTGTTTAATTTGCTTCTACAGAACGTGCATGCAGTTAAACAGTCTCAGAGTTCACATCAGCATCATTCCATCTATAAGCAGTCCTTACACCATTAATATATGTTTTTACAGTGATTGGTAGCATGGTAGGGCATTTGTGTAGTGATGGGTGATGTTTCAAACATTTGTGATAATGAACTGTTTCCTTTCTTCTCTTCTTTTAGGAGATGAAATTTATCAGGACATTTTTCGTGACTTTTCTCAAATGGCATCAAATAATCCAGAGAAGCTAAACCGTTTCCAGCAGTCAGATTCCCAGAAGCCTTAAGTGTCAAGAAGGAAAAGAACCTGCTCCTTGTAGTGCAAGTCGTCTTTGCGTTAACAGAATGAATTATACGTGTTTTGTTAGTTTGGATAAAATGACCACTCTAAATGTAGCTGTAGATTGCGGTAGCTGGGGAATTGTATACAGGTTTTTATGTTGTACAGTACATATACCTCAGCAGCTGAAAAATATGTTTATTATTAAAAAAAAAAAAAAAAGGAATACCTGCTAGCTCAGTATAGAAATAGTACCTGTTAGCAAGTACCATGTTCGTCTGTGACTCGTATGTGAAGTTAGCAGAGCACAGCTGTGTGTGTTGCAGATGGTGACCGAGGGTTTGGATCAGCTTTGCTTGTCGGTATCCTCTGCTGTCACCTGTCTCACTATTGCCATAAAGATGCACCTCTGACAAGAAGGTCTAGGTTGCATTTTCTTGGACTGTTTGGAAGGGAAATCAGGTAATGACTTGCTGAATCGTCCTTCTGCCTGTGGGCCTGTAACTTACAGGATTCTCTTGTTCCTGTGCTGAAACTGGTTAGAGGCAGGCTGTTATTAACAAGGTGTGGGAGCTTTTCTCTTTTTCAAGCTCTTTGGCAGTGGAAGCTTTAACACCAGGCTGGCCTTTATGCTGGTGACTGCAGGTCAGTCACAGTAGGTGTATATCCCGAAGGACCAAATTTCTAAGAGTAGTTTATGTTTTTCTTTTTTCTTTTTTATTTCCCTTTCTAAAATTAAGACTTGCTGTGAAGGAAGTAACTTTTAAATGAGCACTTGGAACCTTTCATGAGGAAAAATAAATGTAATCCTGCTGGACATTATGTGGGTTTTGTCAGTATTTTGATATCCAGACACGAAAATTGAGACATTAAAGTAAAAAACAGAAAGCTGAAAGTGTTTGTGCAGAACAATCACGCAAAGGCTGTTTGTCACCTCTGCTGTTCTCACTGCTAGCCCTAAACTCTGTATATAAAACTCCATATTGTAAAACAGCCATCCTAAATTCAGGTAAATCAAGCATGGTGTAATATACACGTTTTTGCAGATTTTATTTACATGTCTAAGCTAACATTTGCAGAAGGAAATCTAGGAATTTTGCTGCACATTCTTGCAAAGAAACAAATGAGTGCAGTCTGCAGTTGTACTGAGGGCAGCAGCACAAACAGTTTGCTTTTTTCAGTGAGCTCCACTCTGCTGATGTGCATGCATAAATGGTGTCTGTAGGAATGTGCTTATGTGTCAGGTTAGGTAGTGCCTAGATCATTGTCACTTGAAGCCATAAAGCAGTCAGCGCAGTTCTTTATGCTTTATTTGTCCCAAGAAAAACTTGAGGAGAATTTTTAGTTACATCCTTGTGTGTTTTTTGTAGTCCTGTTAGCCACAGCACTATGCTAACCTTCTGTATATGCAGGAAATGAATGGGGTTTTCTCCAAGTTGCTTAATAACCAAAATCGGGCAAAGAATTTTTGTAGGTTATGGTAAAGTTAAACTTCCTAGCGTGCTAATATTTAACAAGGCTTTTCACATATATATTATTTTGCAGAAAATGTATAGCCATGCATTTAATCTGAATGATTCTTGATGCAAAGTGAATAACATCTGAAAAGTGAGCAGTAAGTTTTCCAAGCAAAAGAATCTTAAAAACGGTTTTTGCTTCATGTGTGGTGAAATTATGCTAGGAAAAGCAGATTCTGCCCACTTCAAGGGTGAGTTTAGTTGAATAATAAGCAACTTAATAGAAATTACTGCTTATAGATGATTCATAACCTTTTTAAATAATTGTTTATGAAATGATATTATACTTTCTGATCTGTATTTAACAGTAGTGGATGTTTTGTTAGTAGATTTTAGAGGAAGTGAAATGCCCCATGTACAGACAGACCATGTAAGATATGGCTATGTATAGTGTACACTTCACACATAGATTTCTTTTTTCTAAAGATGTGTGTCCTCTGCTGCCGGACAGGCAGTGTGCAGTGTGACTGTAAAGCAAAGCTCTTTACAGCTTAGTGGCAATAATCTCTGTCTCACTCCTTGCTGCTGAGACACCCAACCCACACAGGTATCTTTCTTCCCAGCCACAAAAATCTGTCAAACTTTGCAGGATAATTTCCTGTCAACTAAAGCTTCTTCCCTGTAGCTCTGCAGATCAATTTGCATTCTGACTCTGGAAAGCAGTATCAGACTGTTCATGCTAGAGGGCTAGAAACATACCTGATCTTTAGGTCATATGACTATTTTTTAGGAGATTTGGAGTTTCAGTGGATCAGGGATTAGGTGCAGCACTTCTGATCTTGCAGCCTTGTTCCCTGATCTTTTTTGGTACACTAGAAAGTCCAGTATAAGTGACATTTTTCAGGTCAGGTGCAATACATACATGCAGGATTCAGTCCCCAGTAAGAGAAAGCATGATTAACTCCCGTGCTCAGGTCTGGATTTCCTTGAGTTCAGGCTTGAGTGCTGATGTTCTGTTCAGTAATTCTAGGAAACTTTTATTTTTATAACAATATAAATCTGAACAGAACTTCAGTGGTAGACTGTAGGGTTCACCTGCTGGTTAGCATGATACGGAAAACTTCGATTTCAGTTCATGTTTCTCTCTAAGAATGAGCACATATTCTAATGCATCTTAATTTTAGAGGTATAATTTCCTTACGTTGCATGTGAGGATGGTGTCTATGGTGTCTCCTTAGTGATCCGTATTGTTTTGATTGTCATACAGCTTCATGTTTTGTTAATGTTGGTACAACGCATGTAAACAAACTTATAAATTCTCTTTCTGCATAATGCTGCTGAATGGTATTAGACATACTGGGCTCCCTTAACTTCGGGTGAAGGCGGTGGGTTGCAGACATCCTGCCTGCTTCTGCAGGCTGCCCTGCTGCAGTCTGAGCACACTTCTGTTGCTGGTTGGTGTGCTGGAAGCCTTCAGCCTCCTCCCCTTTCGGGCCTGACCCAAGTGCTCGCTGGCATTGCGGTGGGCTTTGCCCTCATTTCATTGCGGTGGGCTTTTCATTTCACAGCGGCTTTGGCTTGTAGCCTTCAGGGCTTCGAGGCCGCGTGTCATCCCTTGGCTGTGTTACGGGATTCTGTATTAACGGTGCTTTTTTCGCTCCCTGGAGTCGCGTGTTTTACATTTACAAGCTGAGCTGAAGTAGTTTCAGAAAATGCAACCTGACCTTCCACACGTCAGCACCTCCCCTAGGAAAGGAGAACTCCCCCGCCTCGCAGCGACCTCAATAGACGTTACCCGAATTACTGCCCTACCAAGGAGAACTTTGCATCACCGAAGAAAAAGAGAGAAGGGGACCGAGCCCAGCAGGGGCCGCGATGCTCGCAGCCGGGCGGCCGCCCCGCGCCGCGCTTTGTTGGGGCCGTTCCGCGCCCCCGGCGCCGCCTCCCAGCGCGGGGCGGGGCCGCAGCATGGCGGCGGGCGGCGGGTAGCGGCGGGATGGGCTGGGCGCGCTCGCAGCCGTGCGCGCTGGCGCTGGCGGCAGCCCTGGCCGTGTGCGCCTTCTACTACCTGGGCGGCGGCGGGGAGACTTTCTCGAGCGCCACCCGCCGCCTCCGCGCCACGCGGGCCGCCGCGCCGCCCGCCACGCCGCCCGGCCCGGCCCGGCGCGAGAGGACGGCGGCGGGAGGAGAGGCGGGCCGGGCGCTGCACCTCCTGATGATGTTCACCAAGGCGGAGCGCAGCCCCGCGCTGCGCGGTAAGGGCCAGGCCGCGCTGCGCTCCCTGCTGCGCCACGGGCGGCTGCGCCGCGGGGACGGGCTGCACCTCCACCTCGTCACCGACAGCGCCAGTAGGAGCATCGGCGAGGAGCTGCTGCGGGACGCGATGCGCGGCGCCGCCTTCCGGCACCAGGTGCGGCGGGGGGGAAGGAGAGGAGGGGAGGCGAGGGAGGGGCGGCCGGGGTCCCCGCCCCGTTCCCGGCTCGCTGCGTGCCCGCCCCGCTGCAGCTGCGCGCCTGGCGGACGTGCGCTGCCCGGAGCGCTCCTGCGTTTCCTTTAATGTTAGCTGAACTCTGCTGGAAGAGCCTGCGGTGTATCCGCGGATGTAACCTCAGTGTTGTTCGTACAAAGTATTTCTCGGTAAATAATCCCGTTTCCTAACAGCGCTCGGTCAGGCGCTTAGCACTGCGGTACGGTCGCTGTTACCCGGCTGTAGGCAGGAGCTGCTGGCACAGCCAGCCTCCATGTCAGCTCCTACACGTGCAGCTGTGCCCTCGGTGCCGGCAGCTCCCCGGGCGCTGGCAGTGACAAGCCGGCAGGACACGGCAGCAGGAAACACCAGTGTAGCTTGCAGCTCTTGTGTGCTGCTGCAATTCTGAAGAAGGCAGACTCTCAGTGCACTCCTGGGGGCTCCAGCAGTAACCATCTCTGCCCTCAGGCCTCTCCTGGCTTCCCTCAGGTGCTCGCAGGGCGCTTTCCTGCTCTTAATGTAGCTTTCCTAGAGCGGGTGCGGAGCTGAGGCCTGCTGAGTGCCTGGAGGGCAGCTGGAGCTGCAGGGCAGGGCTGCTGAGCCCCGAGCTGTGCTTCTACTTTGTGGGGAGCACTGGGGTTTTGGAGCTGTCGTTGCCTGGCCCTCCCAGCAGAGGTGGAATCAGGTAGAATCTCTGCTAGAGTGAAGGAATCAGAGAACCTTCCCTTGGGGAAGGTATTGGGCCAGCTCTCATCACTCCGTGGGCATATTTGCAACTTCGGGCACTTACAAAGCTCTCTGGAGAGTGCAGCAGCATCCCACAGTGCGCAGACAGCGAGAGCAGGGGGGCTTTGGGGTGCACACAGCAGCGTGTGCAGAACAGTATCTGCACAGGACTCTTTGTGCTGCACTGAGGGCAGGCCTCTGCTGTCCCAAATCCTCAGATCATGATGGCATGGTGTCACCGGGCCTGCGGTCTGAATTGCCTTGGGAGCGCCGGCTGCATGCTGATGTGTCCCAGATGCGAGCCGTGCCGGCAGATGGAGCTGGAGCTCCACAGCACGGCGCTGCATGGAGCCACGAGTGGCAAACGAGCAGCACTGCTGCACAAAGGGCTCGCAGCCTGCCCAGCTGTGCTCTGCCAGCAGCATTGGCCTGTGCTATGCCCTGTGCGCCCTGAGCAGCGCCTGCCCTTAGGATTTGCTACACTCAGTGACTTGTTTAGGTGGTTCCCTCCATGGGTACCACACAGTGCCAAACCACGCCCTTCCCAAGCTAATTTTTAAAGCCCTCTCCTGGGACCACTACTTTTCTGCCTATGCAATTCAGCTGCAGGAGATCTGGAGCCCCCAGCAGCTGCTCTAGAAGGAGGCTGGAGCCCCTCAGCACAGTCCCAAGGGCTGGCTTTCAGGAAGCCTCGCTCTGGCTTCTACAAGTCAGCGCTTCTCACTTGGGCAGGCCCAGCCCTGTGTTCACAGCTCCATCCCCTCTGTGGCATGTGGTTATCAGCCGCCCCAGTGAGGGCCTTTGGGAACCACAGCGGGGCTGTGGGGGAAGCCTGAGCTCTTCTCCTCTTCCTCTGTGGGTCCGGCACACACCACCAAGCTGCCGTCACCTTGCTCTTATGGGCTTGCTGCAAAGGTGCCTCGCACCAGAAGGAGGGAAGCAAAAAGAGAAACTGAGTGTATGGCAGTTGTTTACTGGTGAACCAATTGAAGAGGTCCTTTCTCAGAGTGAGATGTGTTTATAAAATGTGTTTGTGTAGGAAACCCATAGGAAGCCCACAGAACTTAGTTTTCTTGATGTCCTCAATGAACTCACTCAGATTTAGCTACAGGGAATTACTGAAAGCTGCTCCACAAATAAATAGTGAAGCACAAAATTAGTAACAGATAAACAGGCTGTGCTCGAGTGAGGGGAGAGGAGAGCCCTCTGCAGTGCTGCAGAACGAAGATTCCTAGTGTCAGGAGTTTGCTTTGCAGAAGTGCTTCACCAAAGGATGGGCAAGAGGAACACATTTTCCACTGTTTTCTTTGGAAGCAGAGGGAAGACACATTGCTGTGTCTGGAGTTTCAGAAGTGCTTTTCCCACAGTTTTGTCCCCTGGTGCTTGGCACTCCTCTGCTCATTTCAGAGGTGTGAACTGGGTTGAACTCACTTTTTTCACCCCTGCTATGCTGTCTGTCATCTCCTTAGGTGGGAGAAGATTGAAGCATGGCAGCTTCCTTGGGGAGCCAGCACCATGGCACTGTGCTGTGTGTTTCTGCAGCAATCCTAGTGCTGCTGCTGAGGGAACAGCTGGTTTCCTCTGCCAAGGCATCGTGTCCTGGGTGAGATGCTCCTGGTAACTGACTTGTGATCAGGGCAACAATTTCAGCAATGAAGTGTGGAAGGACAAAGCTCCGGGCAGCTTCCTGCTGCTGCACCAGCCTCTTGGTATCAGAGCTGCATCCCTGCTGCATCTCATGCACAGCACGGCTGCCACACTAGCTCAGGCTGCAGTGGTTGATTTTGAGGATTTGAAATAAAAGAAAAAAGCAATACTCTAACTTATGTATTTACATGTATAGTGCACTCTTCCTAGCTTTCAGCCAGATGAAGTTTTATTAGGGAAAAGGAGCAGAACCATAGAATCATTTAATAACTTAGTTTGGAAGGGAGCTATGTGGATCATGGGGCTGGCAGGGCCAGCTAAGGGAAGTATCTCAGCATCCCTCAACAGAAATAAAACACTGGTGCTGTGTTGTGTCCTCACCTGTGTTCAGTTTCTGCTAGAATTTTCCTGCTTTCTCCTGCCTGAAGAAGGCAGCATGACCTCAAGTCTGCAACTCAGAGTTGCTGAACTCTCTAATCTGCACCAGGGTCACATCCCTTGGGTCTGTTCATTACACTGGAAGTTCCTCCAGTTATCTGGTGTGATTCAGTAACCTGCATC